TCCAAAAAAAAAAAAAAAAAAAAAAGACGAGACAGAGGAGAGAGACGTTGGAATATTAGAATGGGAAAACGAGGACGTTTCACCGACCACCACCACTTGGGGATTCTCTAAAACGTGACTTCCTTTATAACAAGACGAATCAAAAACAATTTTATTTTTGTAAGAATATAATAATTTCATATATATATATATATATTAATTAGCTGATTATGAATATAATATAGTAATATTAACAAGTCGATATAGCCTGGATGACAGCTACAATGTGGGGAGCAACAGTTCGTTTTCCGAAAGAATAAACAAATGCCTAACGAGTTTTCTGTTTGAAATGTGAAAATGGATGATTGAGAGAAGGTGTAATGTTTTCTATGATATTTGGCTGGCAATATTATGTAAATATCTTAAATTGTTCTATTGTATATTTCCAAGAGTTAGATAGAGTTTATATTGCTTTATATATATATATATATATAGATTCTGAGATTTTTCTGGGGTTTAATTGTATATATTAAATCCACATTTGTTCTTTTGGACATTAGTCTCATTGATGGGTTCAACATCATCAGTCTTATTTCTTCCTCTTCCGTCTGTCCAATGATTTATAATCTATCTAGATTTAGGATACAATGTTTATAAAGATATATATATATATATATATATATATATATATAATAATAAAAAGCTTAATTAATAGCATAGTTTATGCGGGATGAGATGAAATGAAATGATTGCGTCGCATTAATCATGAGCTAAATGTGATTGGAGTTTGAACTTGTCCTCAAATGCCAACTCTTATTCACACATTCCAACACTGCAGACAAATATATACATATATACATGTTCGTATTACTTGTATTATTGGTTACATCATTTCAAGATTAATATAATAAAAACTATTTTAAATATTCATATTTTTAACACAGTGTCAAGTATTATGTTCGACCGACGCTCACGAGACATCCAAAACGAGGCCGAAACCGGAAGCATTGAACAAATACGGAGGACATCTTAACCGAGCTTGAAACATGCGAACCAAAGTCGAATAGATGAAAATATTGTTCACACACCGTGTACCAAACCGGTTGAATAAAATACCGATATAAACCGAACCAATGTTGATACGCATTATTCGTTTTGTGGAAAACATTTGGTTTATGGAATAGTGTGAGATAACTCGGGTTTTGATTTCACATGTTTTATTACAGATACTATAAGTTCGTTTATTTGTTAATAAAAGTAATAAAAAAAAAGAAGCAAGGATTATTGTGTGGTTTTACAAGTAAAAGGAGACATGAAGACGAGGGTTCAAACAAAGACACAAGATGTAATATACAAGCGACGCACCAGAATTTCTTCTAGTACATGTCTTGCAGCATGTTCTCCAAATCCCATGTCGCTATCTTCCCATCAATTCCTGCAATAATTACAATAATTTACCAAAAAAAAAAAAACAAAGGCAAATCCCCAACATGAACATGAGTAGGAGGAGTCTTTGGATCTAAAAGGGGACCTGCAGTTAATATAATTCCAAAAAGTTTCGCTGACCTGAAGTGCTGAATCGCGTTACTTTAGGCGTCCCGGCTTTACTAAGCGGCATTATGCAACTGCAGGAGTTTCAAGAAAATGATTTCCAGGGACGATATTTGTTAGGTATGGTTTTTTGAGAATGGTTTTGAGATTTGGGTAAAGCAAAAGAGTTGCAAACTATGACCAGAGCTGGAAAGTTGCTTGAGGGCTAAGTTACTCACTTTATGCAGTTGTCGTGAACGCCTCCACGTGACTTTGAAGATTCACTACCATCGTTTCCCGTTGCAGACTTTGATTGACCATAAAATTTCCCGAATGCCTCAGTTAACTGAAAACAAGACGAAGTGGTAAAAACACATGGAGCTTACCCTGTGGGATTACTTGATTTCGAGTAAACTACATGGGGGAGGAAATTAATTATCATGGACTCGTATTACTGACAAAAAAAAACCCCGAAGATGGGAAAGGCAAAATCATACCTGTGAACTGTAACTAGAACCTGAAGATGGCACCTTTTTCTCACCAAGGTATCTGACAAAGCTCCTATAGATCAACATGAGAAGCTCGTTAGTGCACACAATTTTAGGAAACAAACTAAGACGACTAAGAGAACCAAAAAACACGAAATCTCTGAAGCATAACCATATTTAAGAGGACACGAAGCAGATATTTCGAGGAATTACACACCAAATTCCTGTCTCATCGGCAGCAAACACCATCGGATTGCTGTCGTATCCAACTCCTATCACCATTTTCTCAGAAATAAAGAGGACCTAAACCGGCAGATTCAAATCATGTCAGTTCAGGACAGAATACACGGTAGAAGGCCAGGTTCTCAAAATATTAACAAGAGTGGATGCTGACCCACATCACGAAGAGGCAAATCTCGGAATGCAACATTTTGGGCTAAAGGAGAAGGACCCACATCATCAACAAAGTAAATCATTGAGTTATGACCTGTACCATGTAAAAAAAACAGAGAGGAAAGAGAGTGAACAAGCAATATTATGAACAAAAATGAGGCTCCACTAAACTTTGGCTTCAGTCAAGCACAACAGATAAGCATCTCAAGTATAAAGGATATTCTGACCTACATAAGCTAAGGTATTCCCACTTGGAGACCATTTCACTCCAAATGCCCACGAGTATGAGAGATCAAGCTGAAGAATTTGCTGTTTCAACGTAGATAAAAACAGAAAATGTCCCCTAACATTAGGGGGAAAAAGGACCAGGAGCTGTTGTGGCATAAGCGTAGTATAAAACTGTACTCAGAAATTTAAGCTAGTGAAAATGTCAAACCTCTCCAAATTTAGATTCTGCTGTTGTACTAGGTTTTGCGTCCCTGTATCAATTCATTTAGGAAGACAAATCAGTAACTGCCTACATCTAGATGAAACAGAAAAAGCTAAAAGTTCAAGTGATGAGCATACTTTGTGTCGACTCCCTTAATGAAGGTTGAAAATACCCGGCATTTTCCATCTGTAGATGTTGTTGCAAGAAGAATCTAAGAACCAAAGCAAAATAGACAATAAGACAACACAAAATACGAACAACATATTCGCAGCTAAAGGTAAGAACATTAATCAGTTTGCTTGGAATGATATGAACAAACACTATTAAGCTCTTCACACTGGCCAGCATGGAGCACTTGATCTAGACAATGCATACATAGCAGCATGGTGTGTGTGAAAACAATTTGGTTACATGAAGAAGATAAGGTTGTGTAAACTGCACGCACATTGTTAGGATGCCACGCAACACTTGTGACTGAAGAGTCGTGCCTTTTCCGAATAAGTTTACTCACCCACCTGAGAACCATATAGCCATGTAATGTCAGGCAACCAGAGCATGAGCAGAGCAGATCACCATGGACATTTCTACTAGCATAAAACTAGATAATATTAAACAGTGAAAATTTTACATTGAACCCACCATTCCAGACATTGCCAACACCTCTATGTAAACTAAACAAAAATTCATGCAACTCAAGATAAGCATCTGCAATTGGTGTAAACAACATGCCAAATAGAAAACAATGCAAGTTTATGGGTACCAGAAATCTTTTCACAACAAACTTGCCACTTGGCGGAGGGCCCAAAACATTATACAATTCTGATTGACCTAATATACTCTCACCAAGTAAAGAGGACAAACCAATATGTCAATGAAAAACTGCAGCTATCAATAAGAAATAATGGGGAGGAGCTGAGGATTATGGACAAATTACCAGTTATTCTCCTGCTCATAATAGCATATGCAAACAGTTTTAGCACCGCTTCCGACAGCAAACTTGTTCTCTAAGGATATCAAAGCAAAAGATGGGAACGTGGATTAATATAAGAATTACTCTGGTAACAAAATAGAAATGCATTGCACAATAGCTAGAGAGAAGTAAAGCAGCCTATAAAGTATGGATCTGATACATTTACCTTTGGGACTCCATTGGACACATAGTGCGGCACGATTTAGTCTAAGGATAACGAGGGTTGGTACCCATTCAGATCCTTCCTGGCTCCAGACGTACCTTCAAGAACATTGACAGCTCAGCAAAAAATATATATAAAGGTAGAGACAAGCACGAAAGAAAACAGATCACTTGAACACATAGAATAACAGTAATCAAATTACATGGCTGCCTAGACATTTCTCAATGCAGCTATTTCAGGAGTTACAACTTACGAATTCCTGTCATGGGAAACAGTAACAATTTTGTTGGACTTTGAGCTCCAGTCTATTCCAGAAACAATTTGGTCATGCTGCAACAATATAAAGAGTATGCATGAATTTGTTGTAAGGAAACTTTTGGTTGTAACTCAGATACTTTTGCAGCATTAGATGATACTAAAAAACGAAGGAAGTGGCCATGGCTTTCAAACAGAGTCAAAAGGTTTCACCTTTTGAAGAACATGTACCCTCTCCCACTGGTCTTGTGATGATCTATAGATATGAACTTCGTTATTGTTTGGACAGAGGGCGACCACTACATGGAAAATGACACAAATGTCATAGCACATAAAAGATTACACACTTTTCAGGATCAAAACATCTACAGGCTATCGTGGCCTTAAAAAAATCAAATTGGATGCCATTGGAAGAATTGGGTTGTTATAGTCTTGAGTTGACAAAGAAAAAGCATGTACACTATATGTAAAAAGACATTGCCAAATCTGCTGTCTTTTGCTTTGCAGTAAGACAACTTCATCAGATCGCTCGCACACAATACTGGATAACTGCTTCTTATATACCAGTTTTACGAGTAAGATCTGGGAAACCGAAACTCTTAGCACAAGTAACCAAAAACCAACCTGCACCATATTTCGTAAAATCTGCTACCATAGTATTAAATTTTTCAAGGTGAATATCCCATATCCAAAGATTTCCTACCAAAAATGGCTTCCCAAGAAAATTACGCTTAAAGAAAGCCAATGCATTTGCAGTTCACTTACCAATCGAGCATCGAATCGTTATACCTTGACCCCAGTTTCGTTGTTCACAAACTATAGATTAGTACAAAAGCGTTCTACAGAACACATCGTTGCATGTCAATATAAACAAAAATGGGAGAGAAATCCTTCGCCACCTAGGCGAAATTTTCATCCTCGCAAGAAAAGAATAAACAACACAACAAAGATACACAGTTCTTCCCAGTTTCGAATCATGATTACCAAGGTAACCTCACAGAGCACTACAGTTTTCCCCTTTTCACTCGATTTCATTGACCTAAAGGCCATAAGTGAAAAGCAAAAACAAGAGGATCAAAACCAAATCGACAACATCTCAACAGAGACAAAATCAGAAAAAACCTTACTGGAGTGATCGGGACTCCAAGCATGACAAGTGATTGATTCAGCGAATCGATGAACACCAACGACGGCCATAATCGTCGTCTCCTTTTGCCCAAGGAGTTCGCGAACCACGATGGATCTCCGATCGATAACTCAAAAGCACCGGCGATCGGCGCCGTGCTGGAATCTGATCGGCGGTGGAGGGAGCAATACCGCAGAATCTCCGATGAGATCCGAAACTCCGACACTCGCAAACGTGAAGAGTATAGCGAGAGGGTGTCTTCAGCGTAAAGGACGAGAGTTAAATGGTCAATTTTAATAATCTCACTTTCCCTTTACTTCGAGACAAAAAAGGAAAAAATATGAGGACGCATTGTAAAAATAGGATATATATATATATATATATATATATAATCAAAGTAAATTACAAAATTTTGAATAATATTAATAGTGCAATGATTGGAATTCTTGTAATTTTATAAATATTATGGTCCAACTACAAAAAGCATTAGAAAAATTACAAAAACAAAAAAAAAACAAAAATACCAAATCAGACAAGACAACCACTAATCCAAGAAACTACAAATTACATTCACAGATAAAAAAAAAACTACAGTTTCTTTTTTTTTTTGTAAGCCAATAAGAAACTCGTTTTGGCAACACTCTGCTCTTGGGATGAGATGAAATTTGGACTCATATTCTAATCTTCCCTATGGAAAATCACAGATTAATATATTAATCTGAAAATTTATGATTCTCTATCCAATCTATACATATACCCGATTTGTAATGCCAGACTTTTTTTTATATATATAAATTAAAAATCATAATATTATCAGAGAACAATATGTAAAATAGCAAAATTTGCCATGATCTTCTTATAACGAGTCATTAATGCCAAAAGACAGGAACCTGAAAATTGTTGCGACTTACATTCACAACAAGAGAAGCATCAGTGTTTCCGACCAAACATCACAAAACAGAAAGAAAAAAAAACACGTGTATATACTTATTCATGAAACCGAGAGAGATCAAATACTTGACTGAAGAGAATCACAGGAAAAGCCATATATGTATGTTACCTTCTTCTCCTCATTGTAGCTTTCCTTGAACCTGTGGAGCAGAAGAAGATGCACTATACAATGACTTGAGTTGCTGACCGATCAATCTACTGTTCTGAACCGCCGCCGATTGAAGCTCTAAATTCTCTGACCACCACTGTTCCAACCCGTGAGCTTCTAGAAACTTCTGCTTCCCTTTCGACGCCACGAAAAGCTTAGCTCCAGCCATGGAGGAGTTGTTAACGGTCGCTGGCCTTTTATTCTCCTTGTCCCCTTCTTTACTCTCGTTTTCTCCTCCACCGTCTTTTTCGGTGTAATAGCAGCAGATATAGTCGCTGTCATTTACGTATAGATGGGGAACCCATTTCTTCTTCGAGTCTGCAGAAGCTTTCTCTTCGTAGAAACTCGGTACCCAGCTTCTGAACCCGGAAATATGATTAGAACTGCTGGCTCCTTCATTGACATTTTCTGTCAAAGGTTCATTCTTTGGTGGAAGCATTGACTTGAGTCTTTTCCACGCGATTCCAGCCCTTTCACCAATGTTTCTTAGGCTCATAGCAAGAGATATAGACGGTGGATTGAACAAATGAGCATCTACGAATAACCCTTCTTTAGCCAGAGCTTTACCGACCTGTAGAGCGAAACCGGCTCCCAGTGAGTGACCTGCTATACAGACATTACTGCTTCCATACCTCTGTGCAATCAATCTTAGTGCTTCTAGAGCAGCCTTAAACCTGACAGAACCTTTAAGGCTTTCCCAAGTTAGAAACCGGAGGTCATCTTCTATGTCACGCCTCATCGTTGGACTCTTTAGCAATGTTCCTCGTAGTGCCAGCACGGCTCTTGGTACGCCAGTGGGTCTGATGAGAACCAAGTCAGCCATTGCAGCTGCTCGGTCCCATTCAAGTACTGCGCCGAATATGGAGCCGTCTCTCTCATCGATCAGGGTTTGTGATAGCTTGAACTTGAAGGGTATCCACCATTTCGGAGCGAGAGCATTATTATGCTCATTTCTGTTTTCTTGTCTATCAAGTTCGAGTAGGTATGCTGCTTGAATAAAGCAGGCCATCACAGTTCTCTTGTAGTTGGGATCCTTCCTGCGTATGGAAAAATCAATGGACGCTTAGAAGTTATATAACCTCTACAGATCCAAGAAGTATATATATATATATATAACCATATTCATCAATAAGAAAGAAAGAGAAACTGGAAAGAGTATATATATAACCATATATATACTACACAAAGTTTAGCATGTTCCTGCAGTCATGCCAGCAACCTACCATTTCAACTTATCAGATCCAATATCATGGAAAATCCAACAGCAACTGCCATGAAGAAACAATCAAGAAGCAGGAACAAGACAGAGAGAAAACAGACGATTACCATCTGAAATTAAAACAGAGGCAGTGCAACGAATTGTAACGCAATACATTTAGCTGACCATTCAATTCGATAACCTTCAGTATGCCAGTGGATAAAGTGATTTCATACTAGAACAACATCCAGATCCCCAGGTTACCAATAAGGGCAGATTTTAGTAAGCATTAACTGAGAAGAACCTGATCCATGCAATGAAAACGAAAGAAAACCAAAAGATAGAGAAGCTTTTCGCTACCGCTAGCTTCTGATCCATCAGATCTGATGGACAGAACAGAGAGTTTTCCAGTTCTCATTCTAGGTTTCGAAGTTGATATTTCGGTACCAAGATATTCAAAGACGGAGAAACCCAGAACAAACTTTGTTCAGATTTCTGCGGAAACCCTACAAAGAGATTCCATCCATGAAAGCGAGACAAGATCGTGAGAGTAGGAAAAAGATTCGTCAAGTTGAAGAACAGGGTACTTACCAACTAGAGTTGATCAGGTCTCTCCAGTTCGGGGAAGCTACATTTCGGGGTCCCGAAACGTTAAACGCGTACGGATGATGGGTTTCTTCTTCTCTCACCGCCACCGTCTCCGGCGTCGCTGCCCCCATATCTTCCGCCGCGGCCGCCATTACCGCCACCGTCTCTGCTTCTGTGATATCTTCCATAACCCCACGCTTCGCCATCAACAAATTCTCCCCTTCTTCTTCTTCGAGACAGAAATGGAGGATTTCTTCGTGGGTATTTGAATTTGATCGGGTAGAATCGGATTCGGTTTCCGAAGGCGGAGAATTTCAAGTTCGATTTTCTACTAATTATTTTGGAGTAAACTAATGATTTGAAACGCCTGAGGATTTGCAGATCTTACCAACGGTCATCTCCTTTTTGTTGTCGGCTCTGTACGCATTTCCCTATATACCCTTAGCTTTTCCAGGCCGTGTGGACCTTAATCCAGGGGTATAAATGGAAAACTTTATAATCATAAGCGCTGCACAGCTTTCAGTCAAACGCGTTAGTAATTTCCCATAATCGAATTAACATGCATAATCTGCTCTTCGTTTCTGCTTCATTAAGTTTCAGTTCACATAATAAAATAATTTCCATAAATTTACACTATTTATATGCCAATATATACTCGATTATATTTATAATCCATAAGATAAGAGAAAAAATATATTCATGCGCATAAAAATGACAAAAAAAGTAAATGTAGATCAAAATAAATGTTACAACATTCATATTTATTTTCAACGTATCGATGCAATTCAGGCCCATCGTAAGAGACCCTTTTCTCAACAAAAGAAAAAACAATCTTTAACATTTCTCCGGCGCCGGAGTGCTCTCCCGGAACTCGTCTCCGGCGGTGGAGACATTGTTTTGATCGGAAAGATTTCGGACATAAGACCACTTTTCTTGAAACAAGAAGAAGAAGGCAAAGCAAGAGACTTGGACAGTGAAAAGGATTGTCCAGAGCTTCACGCTCGTCGACGTCTTCGTACTGTAAGCATACAAGCCTGTGTATATGTTCAATATTCCCAAAAGACTCGTTGATGTTCCTAAGATCCAATGTGCCATGAACCATGGGCTTCTTGCCTTGTGGCCTCTGCATGGACAGAACCCAACAAAACGATGTTTGCATGTTTGGAAATACATGATCAAAGCAAATATATGAGATCAACAGACATAGAATGACAACCTCGGAGGAGGTCGAAGGAAACCCAGAAGAGCTTGAAACCAGACGACGATGTATAATCCAATTCCGATCCTCTGATGGTAATTGTCGAAGGAATTGTTGAAGTTTCTTATTGACATGACTGCTCCTACTGTCACCAGTATCAGTGCAGACATCTGTACGTATCATCTCGAACATTGTTTTATGATCCATTTAATCTCACAAACCATCACACACACACACACATATATATATATATATGTATATAATCTATAGAAAGGCATGCCTGAGAAGTGACATGAAGATAGAAGAGCCTTCGACAGCGGTCTTTGTTGGGCATTCTGATAGAGAGTATACCAATTGGCATCAACAATCCCATCGAAGCCCACAGCAAGAATCCATGCACTTTGACCTCGTACAAAATCTTCCAACTTATCAGCTTCTGTATGCATTTATAGCACGTAATTAACAAGAATACAAGTTTAGGGTTTCTTTTTTCTTTGACAAAGAAGAACTGGCGATTACTTTTGTGTGATCCACAGAAAAAGCACGAATTTTTTCTGGTCTTTTTTGGCATTTCCCTCTGAACAATTGCGAGAAGGGTACATTAGTGGAAGAAGAACAAACCTCAGAAGAAGGGTGGATGCCGTTTGCGTCAATGGCTAAGCTTCTTGTGCTTTCATGGGACGAGCATGGCGGCAGAAGAAGCAAAAGGAAAGCGAGGAGGTGATGAAGAAACTCCATTGTTTCATATGGACAAAGAAATCTGTGAACGCAGAAAGATTTCCCTTTCTTCTCTTTGTTTTTCAAGAAAATTTCCAGAATTAATACCCACTTACCAAGAAAAAGAGAGAGAGAGAGAGAGAGAGGGAAGAAAAGGATGTCACAGTGTTGTTTTAGAGTCTGAAGAGAATGTGATAAAGGTGGCAACTTTTTTGTATTATAATAAGATTTTTGTGCATGGAAATTGATGGTTTTAGGTGTTTTGATTTTGGAGATTAGGAAATGGAGGATGGTCATTCATTTGTCAGCTAAGTGGAGGATGGACATTCATTCATTTGTCAGCTAAGTGGAGGATGTATGTATATATCATTGAGTATGTATGTATGTATGTATGTATGTATGTATGTATGTATGTGAAAAAAGGTGTATCAGTATGTGTATATGCTGGTGTTTTGATGATGTGTATGTATATATGTTTTATTAACATGAGTCTTACAAAAAAAGAAGTAGTGATTTCATTGAACTTTCAAGTGGAAGAATGTCAGAATGTGAGAGAGAAGAGTGGAACAAAGTTGGATTTGGCAGTGGGCATTTTGGACCAACACATGAGAGCTGAAAGGTATTTTCCTTCTTTAAATTCAAAAAGTGCTATCTTCAACATTGGAATCAAACAATGCCCACACATTATCATCTCTTGCTAAGAGTCATAATAATATATACACACACATATATATATATATATATATAAACATGTGAAATTTCTGACAACTTCATCCAACATGGAAAACCATTGAGAAACAATCTAGAAGCCAAACAAGAACCAAAATCCCTTACCAAGAAAAGAGACAGGACGGGGCCACTGCTCCCAGCACTCAAGAACCAGCTTGTCATGTTTCACATGTTCTTACTACAGTTGCATAGATGCCTCTCATCATATTTCCTTTGCAATCATCTGATCCTTTTACATTGTTACATTAAGTTGGTTCATCACAAATTAAAACTTCTTGAATATTGATTATAATAAGACAGAGATTAGACATGACAGACGCATCCACAAAATAAGGCATAACACTCTTTAACTCTCTCCAATGACCCAATAGTCACAGATGTTGGTAGAGACAAGACCAAATTGAAGAACATAACACAGCCTGACCAGAAAGACCAACTTATACATGCAGTTTCAGTTACAGTTGCTAAGGCACAATGCAAATCACCGCAGTTGGGAGAACCAAAGTATTGCCCCGGTCTTATCCTTGCTTGGCATAGACCGAATTCTCGTATTTGCCATCCCACCTGTCATTTCGGATCGATCAGAAACTACACATCTATTGTAATGTATGTTTTCTGTCCAAGAGAATTCATATAAAATCTCAAACCTGGATTCTTCTGTTTCAGGGATGTGAAGTTCAAGATCATCCCCAAAGGGTTTGAACACCAAGTCGACCTTCTCATCATCAACTTCTTCAAGGGTCGACGGATTCCACTGTAGTTATAACGGTAGATTTAACCGAAACAAACACAGTAAAACCATCAGAGAATAATCTTTTCAACTCTCAGATCTTTCTATGTTCATTTTCCACTCGGGTTTAACTCGGTTATTTACATAACTCTGTTGTGACTAAAGCAGCGATAGCTCTCAATGTTCCGAGGACTCTTACTTTTGAAACATTAAATGTATCATAGAAGCAATTTCATACCTTTGGGGAATTATCCTTTTCAATGGTCAGAGCTCTAATTCCCTGCGGGAATACACGAGTGAAAATGTCTCTCAGGATATCATTTGCACATGACAAAACCATGGGGGCACTAAATTGTTACCTCATAGACATCAGGGGAAACGGTGGTCCTCAAGATATTCATGGTGAGTCGGAATTCCTTCTTGAGGCATTCAGCCAGTGTTTGTTTTCTACCTTCACGGATCTGAACACATGCAGCAAACTTTTGAGTTCCTTTTGATCTATCATTGTAAAATGAAAAGGATAACTGCAGTTCAGATTCTGAGCTACGAGGGCAAACACCAAGAACCGTTATACAAATATGGATGAACATAAAGGGATATAATCTAACAGAAACAAATTACCGATCGTAAGGTTATCTTTAATCCTGTGGGGGATGACCGCTTCAGCCCCTTCAGAACTGGACTTATCCATCCATTTCCTTCTTTACTTGCTTCAGCTTCCTGTAAAACCAACATAAATGTTTGACCCTGTAAAACACACAAGTGAATGAGGAAGCTCATTTTCAGACAAAAGTGGAGGCCTTACAAATGCTTGTATGATTTCCTTCACGCTGTCTTTCGAGAAGCACCGATCAATTATTGACTGCCTGCAGAATGGTCAATCCAGGTTAAAATTTTCCCTTTGTTAATTCACAAATGATTAACGATGTTGGCAAAGATGAAAGAAGAAAAAGGCAGGAGAGACAAGGAAAAAAGGGCAAATATTACTTGTTTAGAATGCTGTCTTCATCGAGATGGACTTTCTCAGAGAACTCTTCAATAGCAGATAAGACTACATCTGGATCATCAGAGTTTAAACTCACGAGTCGGACCTCCAAATCCACCAATTTCTGACATTAACAAAGGATATGAAAGATGATGCTTCCATATGTTTTCTAATATAGACATTGATTCAAGAATTCAGCCACAATCTGCCTCAGGATGATTCACAAATTGGAATCAGAAACACAGCCAGGAGATTATTGAATATAAGAGATTATATTCCGCTGGATTGCGAGCCAAGGGCAAACATTATCAAGAATGGCATAACATAAGAGAAGCTGAAAACTCACTTCGGAAGGTACAAAGTGTGTTGCCATGCCAGCAGCAACAAGTTCTTTGCCATTCAGCCTTGCTCCGGTTAAAGCTAAGAAATCTCCTACAGATGTTTATGAACTGTGATGAGAAAATCAAGAAAGAACTAGATGCAAAGAAATCACAAAAAACCCAAATTGGTAACATCAGCCAATGCCTTGTTTGAATCAACCATTTGTTTGGCGGTTTAAGGATTACCAAGATGACCAGGAAGACGTGAATGAATGTATGAGAAGCCACAGTCAGTGTGGAACCCAATGCTTGATTCTGGAGTTGCAAAAACCTATGTCGAGGCATTTTAAACTTGTGAATCTTTCTGAATACGTCGTTAAAAAATAAGGTGACACATTGACCCAACCAAACTCACAGTCTTTTCAGTGACGACTGAGAATTTCATCGGGACCATCAAGGATGCACCTCCTCCCATTGAAATTCCATTAACAAGAGAAACCTGTACACGATATTCAGTCAACTACTAGGCACAGAGACACTTCCACATGAAACTTGAACAAAACTAGAAGCCACCTGGGTTTTCTTGTATGTGTGAATATGATAGCAAAGCCAGTACATGCGGTAAACAACCTCGAGACAAGCATCCTCTGTCAAGACAACATATTGGTTAAGTAATTTCGATTTGGTGATTCTAGGTATGGCAATTCCCTAGCTCTATTCATTCTAAAATATGAAAGAAGTATTACTTGAATTCCGCCCATCATAGAACATCCTTAGATCACCACCAGCAGAGAAAGCTCTCCCAGCACCCTGCTCAAATAAAAAAAGGTTAGATAAAACAGTTCAGTATCTTCCCAAATTCCGGAATCCAACCATCAGTTTTCATGTGATATATATTAACCTTGATCAGTATAAGCTTTGTTCCGTCTTTCTCCCACTTCTCGAGATATTCTGCAAGTTTGGACACCTGAGTAAAGTTCTCCATTAGGCTCTTTAGTGTCCTCCAGGGTAAAAGTTCATATAACGATCAAAACTCAAGCAAATTTCAGTACCACTTCCGGAGAGATGACATTCAACTGACGAGGACGGTTGAGAGTTAACAATCTCACATCGCCTTTTCCCTCTCCAAGGACAACCTATAAATTGGACAATGCTGCTGCTCTAATGACAAGAGTGGAAGGAACTACAGAGATCAAACTAAGAGGTTAAACATCAGAAATAACCGGCTCATCGGTGTTTCGGCCTTCTTGAGCCATCCTCAGGTTTCTCAGATCTCAAAATTCTACAGAGCTGATCAACAAAAAAGTACACGAATCTCAGAAATGGAGCCAGTTCAAACTGTAAACTACGTAACGTAACCATAACATAGATAACGAACACAACATATTAAAATTTAAAACTTTAAACAATCAAATTTGGCTCGATTAAAGGACATAGAGCAAGAAATCCCACCATATCCCCCTCCTAAATCCAAGAACAAGAAGAAGACCACCGATGCGACGAACGAAGCCTATTATAGACATTGAAATGAAATAGAAAGCAGAAGAAGCAAAGAAAGATATCAAATTTGAGAGAGAAAAACCCAACCTTGAAGAAGAGGATCCGTTTCTCAACAACCCCGCTACATACATCTATATCTATATATGTATATGTATAGATGAGGAGTGGATTGGACTTGGAGTGGTAGGTGAAGCCGTAGTCAAGCATTGTTTGTTGGCTGAATTACAGTAACAGGGAGAAATTCCGAGCAAATCACCCTCATATGATCCTAATTTGACATTATATTGCGCCAATCGGCAATCTTGCTCTGCGAGGCCCATTCTTTTCATTTTTCTTTTTGAGAAAGAAGGCAATACCGAAGTCATATAAACAAACGAACCCAAGCCCACATAATATTTTGTTAGCCCAGCGGCGATTAAAGCTGCAAAGGTGAAAGCTTCCAACTTCAAAGCTAAAGCTCCCTCTTTGAATGAAGAAGACAAGGGTTCTGCTAAAACCCTTTCTCCGTAGCAGTTGCAGTAGCAAAGTTAGGATCTTCTCCTCCCTCAGGAGCCCTAACCCTGATTCGAATTCCGAGGTGGCTTCTTCTTTGTCTCGCATGTCTTCATTTTTATGTATCTGTAATATGTGAGAATGTGTATTCGCATGTTTATGTAACTGATGTATACCTTATTTTGTTACTGATGGTAATGAAAACAGGTGACGATGGACCCTTCGGAGCGTTACTGTTATGATCCGGTGCTGCGTTGGAACCCTCAGGTCGAAGAGTACTTCGCCAAAGCATATGGAAGTGACCACTTTGCTCGCATTTCAAAGGCTCTCTCGTAATTCCCACAATCTTGAGGACCATTCTTTCATATCTTGAAGAAAATCTTTCGTTCTTTGTGCAGATTAAATCTTTCGGGCTGAGCTTCTTCATTCAGATGAATTTGAAAATTTGCCATTCGTGATAGAAATTGAATACATATCAGGCTAACACATGAACGTTGAGATTATTGATGGTTATTGAGATCTAGCTTTCCTGTTGGTCTCTATCTTTTTTGGCTGAAGAAACTAAATTCTATGGAAGTCACTTTCTTCTCATTATAATATATTCTTCACCAGCTAATGATGAGAGAGTGGCATTTCTGGTTGTAATTCATTCAAAGATGTATTTTCCATTCCATATCAGGTGTCCATCCCGCTACTCCTGCATTCGTGTGAACACACTTAGAACGACAAGTGACGCAGTTATTGAGAAGCTTAGCAAAATCTTGGATGAATCCGAGGAAGGCAAAAGATTGGCAAAAGCTGATGGAAGTAGTGCCATCTCCAAGTGTCAGATTCCTGGATTGGAATATGTTGTTTTTGTCAAGGGGTCAGGCCCTCATCTAATTGATTATGGCTGTGATATTGGAAAACCTCCAAAGGAGGTAATAGTGAGCAGGAAGTGCGCTGAAGCAGTTCTTAGAGGTGCTCAGGTAAGCATGATCCAGTCTGAAGTTCTTATTTTCGTAAGAAAGGTGTTGCTTTTGTTTATGTCTCGAAACTTGCAAGAACGTAATGTCTAAATATGGGACATTGAGATGCTCTCAAAATCTACTTGCTAGACTTTATATTCATGTTACTCTCTTTAAGTTTATTTCTTGTTACTGTATCATTTGAGAGGAGTATAGAACATACCTAGGTTTGCCTTTCTTCGATTTCTTGTTGTATAGCTTTGGTGCAATCTTGTCACAACTGGAAAAATGTATTGATTCATCTCAAATTCTTATCGTTTTTACTGTTAGTTAGCTGCACATTTGTGTTATCTTTATTGAAAACAAGCATATGCTTCTGCTTATTGTTAGCAGTAAATCGTATGATGTTGGTTCTTTTTTTAATCTGGATCATTGGTGATACTGTGAATAAAGTTATGCCACTCTAATGCTCTCATATGTCCTCCTGTTAGGTGTATGTTCCAGGTGTAATGGCCTGCAGCGCCCATGTAGAGAAAGGAGATGCAGTTGCCGTTTCTGTTGCTATTGAACAACCGTGTGATAATGGTGGATGGAGCATTAATATGACTCGAGGGACAACTCTTCAGGGTCTGCAGACAGGCAAGAACCGAAATTTTACATTGTCGTTTTGTTTGATCACAAATAAAAGATGATGAAAATATCTTAAGGTTTGATCTTTAACTCTTTGGTACCATGAAAACTGACAAGGAGTTGGTATTATGAGTTAGATAACGTTGACTAGGTTGGAGTCCGTTTATGATTGTTTAGATTTGGATTGGTTATCCAACTCACAAATCCCGTGAGATCTTTATTCATTTAAGGAGTTGACGTGAGTCATAGTGTCATTGTAGATCCTTACTATTGTGAACGCAATGGACTCTATATTGGCCAAGGAACAGCTATGTTGTCAAGGGCCGGGATATTTCGGGTCTTGGAAGGAATTGCAGTAGATATGAACAACAGGGTGTTCAGATTGCCTTCCCTTTATAGTAAGTTTCTTCTTTTGCCTAGAAGTTTTTACTTTCTACTTGAGGGTTCACGAATCACAATTTCTGGCCCTCAACATCTTCGTTTGGTTTCCTAGATGTCCTCGAGGGGGAGGTGTTTCTTCAAAACCTGCCAAGCATTGTTGCTGCTCATGCCCTTGGTATGTGAATTTCCTTTATCTTTTTTCCCCATTTCATGTTACGAGGTTGAAAAGTTCTATTTTAACATTTTGTTTTTGATTCAGATCCCCAAAGAGGGGAGAGAATATTAGATATGTGTGCAGCACCTGGAGGAAAAACTACAGCAATTGCTGTACTTATGAAGGATGATGGGGAGATAGTAGCAGCAGATAGATCTCATAACAAGGTACATCATTTTTTGTGATTGATTACATGCCTGCAGTCTTTCTGTGGTTTCTATGTCGTAAGCAATGTTTGTTAAGATAGAGAATATCTATTGGTACCAATCAAGTAAGAGATTACCTGCTCTGAATGCATTAGTTCGTCTGTGTTTTATTATTAATTAGGTGCTGGACATCCAGAAACTGTCTGCCGAGCTGGGTCTAAGCTGCATTACTACCTTTAAACTGGATGCTCTAAAGTCTGTTCGCCGTTCTAACAAACTTGACGATACAACAACAGCAAATAGTGGGAACCACGGTGGCTCCATGACCCCTCAAAGTTCTGAATTACTGGGATCATCAAATGGAACAATGCCATCTGATGCTTCTATAGGATCTGAAGCTGACAAATCATTGGAGGAAAATGGTAATTTATACATTTTCTTTCACAAAGAAATTCATTTTTTTTATTTGTTCTTCTACCATTACAATATGCATTATTTCTTTCTTGTACGAAAGTCATTAGATCACAGAACTTTCCTTTACTTAAATAAAGGCCCATGATATGGAATTAACTGTTTTTTACCATATAAGCTGAAGCGTGGTTTGTCCATCGTCCCCTGTATTTTAGTCAGAAATGAAAAGCCAAACAAAGGACCTTATGTTAGCAAGGCTGACATCAGGAAGGAGATGCGAAGGATGAAAAATGGACCAGGAAGGAACCAAAGCCAGGGTGGAAGAGTTGGAAAATCTGAAGGTTTCTCTCCTAATAGCTTTGATAGGGTTCTTTTAGATGCACCTTGCTCTGCTCTTGGCCTGAGACCTCGTCTTTTTGCTGGCGAGGTAATTTTTCCAATTCCAATGGCTTGTCTTACCTTTTCCGTGTTCTTTTTTCTTCTACTTTGATTTTCTTTCCGCTATCCATGGTTTAAGCATTTGTATGCATCCGAAACAGTAATATAATTAGCTGAATCTGTTTTCCAAGACATCCTTATGTTGTTGCAAACAGCATTTCAAAGTTGTATTCTTAACTGTGTCTGGACTGTGATTTCTTTTGAAATCAATCCTCCATTGTTAATTTTTTGCAGGAGACTGTTGAATCTTTAAGGAACCATGGAAAGTACCAGAGGAAAATGTTTGACCAGGCTGTTCAACTAGTTCGCCCTGGTGGAATTCTCGTATACTCAACGTAAGTGTGCATATCTTACCCTTTGGTAATTGCTTATGCATGTTTCTTATAATCTAGATGCATGTGATGAACTGCACATCAAACCGACTTTCCATGTTTTGGTTTTGATAGATGCACTATTAACCCGAGCGAGAATGAGGCAGTGGTTCGCTATGCTTTGGATACATATAAATTTCTTTCCTTGGCACCACAGGTTCTGATCTAAATACCTTCTTCTTGGCTTCAGTTTGAGCCACATGGAAATCTCCATTTGAGCTGTTTGAGATTTTAGCTGAGAAGTGCGTTAAAAAAAACTCAGTTCTTGTGTTCTCTGTGGCCGTTACAGCATCCGAGGATTGGAGGACCTGGTCTTGTTGGTCGGTGTGAATTCTCTGATGGATATGTCGAGTGAGTACACCCTCATGCATTTATAAATGTCTGATAAACATGTATGTATGTACATACTTCTGTTTCTCACTGTTAACTATGGAAATCACTTCTCCATGGTTTGATGATACCCATCCTGAAAATGAAAAAAACCCAGAACTCTTGTCTATCCACTGGATCCCCTCCCCCCCAAAAGAATGAATGGTGTGAAAACCTGATGTTTAAGTTATTCGACAATCAAAAAACCAGAAGCCGAGGCCTTTGTTTCCAACGATCAACGTGATATTCTCCTTCGAAATGATTATGATTGCTTTGTTGATTTCGGCGTGCAAGTGTATCATATCATATGATTGAGCCAAACAATCTCAGTGCCTTAAGATTATCCTAACTGACTTGATATTTTGCAGGGAATGGTTAAGGCCCGGGGAAGAAGAACTAGTTCAGAAATTCGACCCCTCTGCTGAACTAGATACCATCGGCTTCTTTATAGCTAAGTTCAGCGTCGGCTCAAAGGATTAGGGTTCCAATGATGATTGTATGCATCTTCCAGTCCTTGGGAGGATTGATTTGAGTACACTGAACAGAAGTGATTGGTTACATGGCCATGGATATGATGGAGTTTCAGGAAACCGCAGTGGCAGACAGGTTGGAGATTCATCAAGCTCATGTTGTAATGCAACAAGCTTTTTAAATGCTTGTTGTTTTTAGATTAAGATGGTATTTCTATTTCAGAAAAAAAAATCTTTATTTGTAGAGGATAAAGCCAACAAGGAAAGAAAGAAACTCACAGAAACATTACAAGTACAGAGGCAGTTTTATTTCCTCAAAACACACAAACCCTCAAGACAAGTAAGAAGGCATATTCAAAGCCAAAACACACATTTTTCAGACAAACATGCCCTCAGTTCAAGAAAGGTAGACGGAACTTCTCAATAACCTCCTTCCACGAAGGTCGGCTGCTGATGTCATCCCACCACGCGCTCACGTGCTTCCTGTCCTTGATCATATACGCCTTCCCGATCGGACCAACGAGGTAGTCTGTGAACGGGAGGTGGGCCAGGTCGGCCAAGCTGATGAAGTCGCCGGCCAAGTACTTGTTCTGGGAGAGGTGGGCCTCGTAGACGTCGAGGACCTGAGCGAGCTTCTCCTCGCTCTCCTTGATCAGCTTCTCGTCCGGGGTGAAACCCATCACGGGGGCGAGCATTACGTGCATGGTGAGGTTCAACAATGGCGGATGGTAGTTCACGGCCTCCACGTCAAGCCATTGCTCCACTTGTCCTCTCTCTTCCAGTGTCTTCCCCAGGAGTTCAGGTCCCTGTGACCTGTACTTCTCCGCTACGTACCTCATGACCGCACGCGACTCTGCACAATAGCCCAAGTTCTTCTTACAGTGAGAATCAAATCTCATATATTGATCTTGATTGTGCATATATGTAACTGCCCGTGTATGTATATGTGTATGTGATCATCATCATCATCATCAGTGGGGGAAGGAGGAGAAGAATACCGAAGATTTTGTAGTCACCATCGAAGACAACGGGAACTTGACCAAAAGGCTGAACAAAAACAACGGAGAAGGTCAAAATCAAAGATCGATTAGAAGGGAATCGAGAAGGAAGACGAAGGGGATTGAAACCTGAAGCTCGAGATAAGGAGGCTGCTTGTGCTCTTCAGTGGGGAGATCGACGTGAACTGTCTCGAAGGGCACTCCCTTCTCCACGAGCGTCACCAGAACTCGCTTCGGAGAAGCAAAGAGCGGTCCGTACACCTTCAACACCATTTTCGCTCTGCTCTCTCTCTCTCTCTCTCGCTCTTCTTCTTCGTCTCTAACGCAGAGGAGATGAGTGAGTGAGTGAATTGCTGTCTCAGGACGCGTTTTTATAGAGAGGACGTTGCGTTAGCGTTTAAGTGGCGTCTTGTAGCGTTGCGTTTGTATTTAAGTGGCGACTTCTTGTTGGACCGGCGGTGTCTTTTCTCTGATTGGAAAATATGGTTATTTTATTTAATTGGCCACTCGTATATATTTTATTATACACTTGCAATATCAATTACGCTGTTTAATTTATATTTAATTGGAAGAATTAAAAAGAACTAATGATTAAATTTATTTGACTAATTGAACTCGTATTACTTTTTTTGTCATTTGTTGCTTTAAACCCTTCTTTTTTCTCTCTAGAATTATAATTAATATTTTGTAAAGGGTAATCTCATAGAGATAATCACAATTGACGATAATTGATTGATAATATAAAAAGGATGAATGATGGATTAAGTTAGTCAAGTTTGGCTAGCAGGGGAACTTAATTAATAAAAAAAATTGTGAGGAAATTAGCCCACATGGGCCAATTCGTTTTTGGTAGGTGGCCTCTCCATAATTTTAATTAAAAAAAAATACTCTAACATAAGTCTTATAGTGTTACAAAAAAAGTATGATTAGAAATTAGATAGTAAATACAAAATAAATTAAGAGAAAAAAAACTTATAAACATATTTTTTAAATCTTGATTTTGATACAAAAATCCTATTTGTATCTATAGGAAAATTTGCATTATCATAGTTTTGAAGGGCACATGTATAGACTTCTGAATTTTCATTACAATTGCTTTTTAGTGTACAAAGTCTTCAAGAAGAAATTTCAACATACAGCGAAGTCATTTGTCTTCAAGAAGAAATTTCAATATACAGTGAGGTCATCTACTAGAGTTATAATATTATTATACTCATAATAGGATATATTACGGTAAAAGTTAAAGTTCAGATAAATGAGGGGATGTAGCTCAGATGGTAGAGCGCTCGCTTAGCATGCGAGAGGTACGGGGATCGATACCCCGCATCTCCATTATTCTCTTTTCATTTTTTAATTGTCTTTTGGGAAAACGTGCTTCATTTTGTTAAAATACAAATATATCTGATTCACCATGACGGAAGTTAATCCAGTTCGCAGTCTACGAACCGAGGAAACCCAGAAAGTTCCACCACAAAGATTCTATCTGTTTGAGTTGAAGGCAAAGGCACTTCACCACCTCGTCTCTGTTTCTTGGAGAAACAATGGAGTCGACGATCTTTAAACACGAAGAATACGACCGTGAAAGTGATCTGAAAGCTTTCGACGATGCAAAAACCGGCGTGAAAGGCCTCGTTGACGCCGGCATCGTCGAGATTCCCCGCATTTTCCGACACCCATCTGCTAACTTGATCGACGCGAAACCACTTTCCTCTGTCTCACCCCCACAGCTGACGATCCCCACCATAGATCTTGACGGGATGCTTCACGGAGACTCGAATACCCGCAAGAACCTGGTTGATAATATCAGAGAAGCTGCAGAGAAATGGGGTTTTTTCCAGGTGATTAATCATGGGATTCCTTCCCATGTTCTTGAGGAGATGAACGATGGGGTTGTCAGGTTTCACGAGCAAGACCCTGAGGTGAAGAAAGGGTTCTACACTCGTGATCCCACCAAGAAAGTTGTCTACAACAGTAATTTCGATCTGTATAGCTCTCCTGCTGCGACTTGGAGAGATACATTCGGTTGCTATCTGTCTCCAGATCCTCCCAGGTTGGAAGACATGCCAACCACTTGCAGGTATGCCTCATTCTTCTCCTGTTTCAGATGTGCAAATGAGCATAAGATTGATCCAGATTCAGACGTATGTCAAAGGGGTTTGTTTGTTCGCTCATATGTTTTTCAGAGACATAATGATGGAGTTCGGGAAGGGAGTGATGAAAGTTGCGGAATTGCTGTTTGAGCTTCTGTCTGAAGCTCTTGGTTTGATGCCAAACCATCTCAAAGACATGGATTGCGCAAAGGCTTTGCTGATGCTTTGCCATTACTACCCCCCATGTCCACAGCCTGATCTTACTTTAGGCCTAAGCAAGCATTCCGACAATTCTTTTCTCACAGTTGTTCTTCAGGACAACAATGGCGGCCTTCAAGTTCTCCATGGTGACAACTGGGTCGATGTTCCTCCTGTTCCTGGTGCCCTTGTCGTTAATGTCGGAGATCTTCTACAGGCGAGTGACAGAACACAGTTTCCTCGTGTGTCTGCCTTAGATTTTCTCCATTTTAATGGCGATTCCTTCTCTTGCAGCTAATAACAAATGACAAATTCATAAGTGCGGAGCATAGGGTATTGGCGAAAAGAGGTAATGGACCGAGGACTTCAGTGGCATGTTTCTTCAGCACATACCTGATGCCGAACTCAAGATTGTACGGTCCCATGAAAGAGCTTGTGTCCGAACAGAATCCTGCCAAGTACAGAGACACCACAATCACAGAGTTCGCTGCTTACTACAGGGCTAAAGGGCACGACGGGACCTCTGCTTTGCTCCACCTCAGGATCTGAAAAAAAAAAACACAATGTGTTGGATGCATTTGCTAGTTTGTTTTTGATCGATTTAAGTGGGATGTTTTACTCTGCTCTCTTTCCATTTCATCTTTGATCTTCAGTTTCAAATCGGGGATTCCTTCTCGCCGATACTTGTGTGTATGTGTATTTCCTTCTACGTTGCAAAACAAGGATTCTCTTCAAAAGAAAACGCCGCCATATCAGAAGAAACCAAAGCTAGTGAAAGCTTTCGGCTTGCGAGAAGCGGCGACAAGTGAAAATGTAAAAGCCACTGGGCCCCAAACTTCTCCAGGCCATGATTTTTCCACCACCCTTATCATCATCACGATCGTCGATTCTGCTAGTGGCCAAAATCCTTCAAAACCCAGAAACAGAAATCCAAGATTTTTTCATTTTCGTTTACCAAAAAAAAAGAAAGATTTTTTCGTTTTCTTCTCCTACTGATGACCCTGCACTGAGAAAAACAATGGAGGCGACGAACACGGCTGCATACGATCGAAAAAAAGAGATAAAGGCTTTCGACGAGACGAAAACGGGCGTGAAAGGACTCGTCGATGCCGAAATCGCAGAGATTCCACGGATTTTCCATCACCCCCATGGGAACCTACACAATCGGAAACCGCCACACTTGACGACGATACCCATTATAGACCTGGAAGGAGGGGTTTACGAGGAACCCATCACTCGGAAGAGAGTGGTTCATAAGATCAGCGAAGCAGCAGAGAATTGGGGGTTTTTCCAGGTGATCAATCATGGGATCCCACTGGATGTCCTCGAGAAGATGAAAAATGGAGTACGAGGGTTTCACGAGCAAGACCCGGAGGTGAAGAAAGGGTTCTACACTCGGGATTTCAGCAAGAGGTTACTCTACTTGAGTAATTTCGATCTGTACAGTTCCCCGGCTGCGAACTGGAGAGATACCTTCTCTTGTTACATGGCCCCTCAACCTCCGAGACCGGAAGACTTGCCGCTCGTTTGTGGGTAATGCCTTTCTTCTGCTCTGCTGTTTGGATGGATGGATAGAAGGATGCCAATTTTTGGGTTTAGTTTCTTTCGGATGGATTTAACTATTTGATTTATGAAAACTATAATTTTCGATTTTATATTGAATTTGAACAAGAATTCTATTTGTGTACGATTTTTTTTTAAATACTCATTTGTCAAATAAATTTTGAATTTCATATTCGATTCAAAATCGTTTTTTTTTTCTCCCAAAAAATCATACAATTCGATTTTTATATCGTATTATATATTATTTGATTATTAACCAGATGACCTTGCTTTTGTGATTGTGTGCTCTTCTTTACCGTCGAGTATACCAAAACAAACATAATGTATTTATAGATCATAGGTCTCATCAAATAATGAGAAAAGTGTCCATATGAATTGTGTTTGGTGGTGAAATTGTTTGCAGAGAAATGATGTTGGAATACTCGAAGCAAGTGATGAAACTAGGGGAGTTGCTACTGGAGCTTCTATCAGAAGCAGTGGGTTTGAGCCCTAACCATCTCAAAGACATGGATTGCTCGAAGGGGCTGCTTATGCTTTGCCATTACTACCCGCCCTGTCCTCAGCCCGAGTTAACTTTAGGAACAAGTAAGCATTCCGACAATTCTTTCGTCTCCGTTCTTCTTCAGGACGACATCGGAGGGCTACAAGTTCTCCACGACGAATATTGGGTCGATGTCCTTCCTCTTCCCGGGGCTCTCGTGGTTAACGTCGGCGATCTTCTCCAGGCAAGTAACAGTCGCATTTCCTTTCACACGAGACGATTATGAAATCTTTTGACGGCAAGAACCCGATTTCGGTTTCGAATTCGGGTTTTGACCGACAAATACCTATACTAAATTTGAGAGGGCGAGAAGCCTCACTTTCCTTGCCTCAACATCTCGCCTCGTCCCCTCGACTCCCTCTCTCTCCCATGTATACCCAAAATTTAGGTATTCAACCCTTGCTAGATCAAAATCGGATCGCCCGACCGAAAAGCACGAGGAGGAGATGAGGTCGAGATGGGATATGTCGAAAAAAAACTCAAATATACGATATGTATCCACTCCTAGTCTACACCCTAGTTCCCAGAGTGGTATTTAAAACTATGTGTTGGTGTGTCGGGTCGTGCAGCTTATAACCAACGACAAGTTCGTAAGCCTGGAGCACAGGGTAGTCGCGAATAGAGCAGGACCACGTGTTTCAGTTGCGTGTTTCTTCACCACGGGCATGACTTCTAACCCACGTGTCTATGAACCCATCAAAGAGCTTCTGTCTGAACGAGATCCCCCAAGGTACAGAGGAACCACAATCAAGGAGTATGCGACTTTCTACAATGCTAAAGGGTTAGACGGAACCTCTGCCTTGCTCCATTTAAAGATTTGAAAACGTGGACCAACAGAATGTCATATATGCACCCCATATATAGTATGTATATACACTATCTATAACAACTTAACTGTGACTGATATATAGTTCTTTCATATGTCGTTTTCTTAGGTAATAAAACGCAAAGTAGGATATACTATAAGTAAACGCAAGTAATGTCTAATAATTCAAAAAATATCACCCAACCTTCTTGCGATCAATGAGAGACCACGATGAAATTGGGGAAAGGAAAAGAAAACGTTTAGAAGAGAGAAAAAAATGACACAAATGTTCTCATTCATTCACTCAAAAAATTGTTGTATAAGCATTAAGTAGTATACTCTATAAGTTTCTATAACTGCCGTAACGCAAGCATATAACCATATCATTGCAGCAGATGATGATAGTAGGTATGATAAGCAATTATTAAGACTGATTTTAGATTCTCAGAAGGAAACAACTGACTTGGATTCTGCTGAATGTTGTAGCTGTGACATAGCTGTGTCCCCTTCAGCCTCTTCCATTGCTCTAACTCCCCCACTATAACGCTTCCTGCAGAACCAAGTTTTTCTTCCATAACCTAGTTACCCACTATTACAAAAGTATAGAACGAAAAGAACGTATAAACAAGAATGTTGTAGTCTCAAGTCAAGAATTCATCTTCCGACCACTTTTCCTACATTTTAGGATTCAGGAATATATATGTATATATATATAGTGCTACCAGTGTTTGCTGAAGGGGGGAATTTGGGCAACTTCCTTCTCATATGAGCAAATAGGATTATTCAAACATTGATATATTTTGAAAGAGAGGAATGCATACCTTTGAGAGATGAAACTCTCTTCAGAAAGAGCTTTCTCCAGTCTCTCCTCAAATGGTGTAGCGTGCCAACTCACTTTCTGATCCTGCAGAGTAGCAGAATCCAGTGCAAAAAGGTTCAATTCACTCAAGGAGTGTAACGTTAAGAAGAGCACATGAAGGATGGAAGAAAGCACAAGAAAATAATACCTCCTTGTACTTGTTTGTTGAATTTGGGATCCCATTTCCATCCCACCATTTGGGTGAATTTTGCGAGAGCTGTTCCGCATTCCAGTGAGCAGCAACCATACCAATGATAGGCCTGTCACCAGGAGTCATGGCAACTCGAGGAGTCCTGTGGGAAAAAGCTGCCACATTTTCACTACTATCCTCCTTAACTCGCTTCAGCCACGGAGAAAAGCTAGCTTCAACCTTCAAACCTTTCTCACGTGAACTTTCTTCCCCTTTTCTCCGACCTAATTCGGCACTGGGAGTTCCAACCTCTATCTGCTCATCACAGACCTGCACTTTAGCTCGTTCTTGGCTCCCATCTGACTCCTCAGGGACCTTAGATAAAGAGGCATTTTCGATTGGTTTGGAGACTGGATAAACAAACTGTGACCTTATTCTAGGCTTCACCCTGCCTGTTGATTCTAGATTCGCTGGAAATATGGTCCCGGGAGTTTGCATCTCATCAGAGAGCTTCAACGGGGTCGGATTAGGTGAGGTCGCCACAAAATTAGTTTTTGCTATCATCTCAGTATTTCCTGAACTGCTGCCATGGGAAGAACCAGAAAAGTATGGTTGATCAAAGTCGCACTCAAACCGCACAGTTTTTATCCTTCCAGATACTTTTCCAGCTGCGGGCGTGGGCCTGCAGGTTCTATCCATCTCACCCCTGAATTCTGTGCCAATGCTTCCAAGCCCTTCTTCACCAGCATCACTAGAACCAGAAGAGATTCTTCCGCTGTTTGGAGGATTGGTCACACAACTAGCATGGAGAGAAAAAAAAATAGTAAAGACCTAGATCCATCGATACACTAAAAAGGTAAAACCTATTGGAAGGTGTTAGAATCATGTATGATGTTACAAACAACACTTCTATACCCAGCACATGGAAAAGAATGCTAATGCTTTTCTGTTTTCAACCTCAAACATGGACCAAGTGTTTATCGAACAAAACAAGCTCTATTATTCACCTGCTAGGTGTTTGCTCTGAAGTAACTGTGTGTTGTACCAGTTCCTCACAAACTTTGAGAGGAGTTGGAGGCTCTTCATTTTTCTCATCCATGCGAAACTTCACAGCAGAGCCACTGGAAATCCAGGAATGAAATTGGGAAGATCCAGAATCTCTTTCATGTTCAGGAGTATCTTGTTTTTTGGATGCTTTCCGGATTTCCATCGGAGTCTCAGGTATGGTACCACAAGCTTTTAGAAAACGCGCCTGTAATTTCCACAAGTAAATCCACTAAATAAGACACTCAAACCATAGGGGTCGACAATCAAAATGTACAGACATAGGAGAAGAGAGGATTCTTGATACACCATCTGATCCATATCTGGCTGGCTTTTTAAACTTAGGGAAATAATTACTCAAAATACAGTTAAAGACGCTTTTGCATGACATGAGTATAATGGGAAATATGCTGCAGCAATAAAAAAACTTGACAAAATATAAATGTTAAAATGCATCCAGAATCCAGAGTCGGATCATTGTGCAATGTCTTAATCAAACGCCTAGCGGCCCGACTCATAAGGAGGCTAACTCGCTGTCCAAAGTGAGTAAGCTATGGCTCATTAACAATGGGAATTCATCTTAATTATTCAAAAGCTAACAAAGTTCAAAATCCCCATGAACAGTGGCATTCCACCAATACCAGCTTACCTCATCTTTGAGGCCTTTGTCGATATGTATAAAATCCGAGTCAAATCCGTCTTTTTCAGGTCGTGGTGAAGCTGCTTTCTCTGGAAAATTGGAAAAAGGGACCAGAGGAAACCTTGAATCAAAAACCAAGAACAAAACTGAAACCGCAACGAGGAGTAATACATCTTGAAACATACAAAATACACAGTAAAAAAAAGGAGATTCACCTTCAGACATAAACAAGGCTGATAAAGCGTTCTCTGAATCCTGACCTCTCTGCATAGATACAAAAGTAAAAAAATGTTAGCCATAATTGTTTCAGCGGGGACTGCTGTTGGATATCCAGATCATAGGCAAGGAAGGAATCATGTTAGGTTGAAATTCTTGGCACTTTCATATGCCACCAAAACAGTTCTGCTAGGTCATATCGACCGATTTTTCCCAATTACGGCCAAGAGAACAAACACGATTGTGATCTTATTCTTAAAAAATTCACGAGCGCAATAGTCGGCAATTATACTTGGCAGAATCAAAGCTTATTGACCAAACCGGACAAGACAATCAATTTGATTCTACGGCAGACAAACAAATTAAGCACAGTTTTCAACCGAAATACCATCGATTCTCTTTGTGACTATCCAAACAGCCGATCCTAACATCAATAAACACAGTAATGAACGAACCGAACAGGTTTCTTCGCCATAAATTCCCTAGGAAAAGGGGAACAGAAGAATTACTCTGGATTTGGCGCGAGAAGAGTGAGACGCCAGATTATTGGCAGACTGATCGCCTCTGGTGCGGAAGCAGTCCAGGAAACAACCCATGGCTCTGCAAACTGATACGTCAAGAAATCGCAGCGCAGATCTGTAGAAGAGATTTATCCTCCGCTTCAACAAGTGTCTCATATCATCGATTTTCTTAATAGGTGAACAGCGACGGGAGAACCGCAAGGCTTTTCAATCAGGAGGAACAGATTTTTCGAGAATCAAACAGAAAACAAGAGAGGGAAGGGGTGGTAGGTCGTTTTTTTGAAATTTCGAACAAAGCGGATGCGAGGGAATGAGACGAGAGATAGCTCACAAATTGAAAAAGGCATTTAACGTTTTTGTTCGTGCATTCTTTTCCACTTGCCGGCGCGTATGATAATGCTCGTACTCGCTTAGTTCAGACACGTGGAAGAATCCTATCCGTCATTGGCGTCTCCCGTTGGAACGAGCGAGTGGTGATTCTTATAAATGGAAATGGCGATTTCTCAGTAAGTGTTTAATGAGGAATGTATATTTTTTTGGTATGTAAAATGACATGATTGGACTAATATCTAATTATATTTAAGTTGAATATAATATACAAATTAATTACTTAAAATGTATTAAATACACTACATGGATCTAAATTAAATACTTTAAATCATCAAATTGAAAACAAAATATTTTAAAATAGTTATAATTAAAAACGAATTATAATGAATATAATTTTCCAAAAATAAAAAATTAAATAAAGAATAATTGAATCGAAATCTGGCATATTTATCACTAGTTTTGTTTTGATTTTAGAATCGTAGTAACTTGAGTAGTGATAAGTATTTTATTAAATAATTCCAACTTTTATTTTCGAGTTTTATTGAGTTGCGTTGCGTATTCATTTATAATTTTTTGTTAATGGCATATTTTTTTATTAGATGTATTTGTGATGTAAGAAACAGAAAAACAAAGCATAAGTTTTTGTTGTCTAATCTAATTGCAAATTCATTGCCTTGTCCGATTAATAAGTTTTTGTTCTTACATTTCGTTCGGTTTTCGAATTCGATTGTAAAATATCTATCCCATAGAGTTTGTTACTTATATATTCAACCGTATTTTTATTAGCTAGACAAATACAGATTACAATTTACATGTGATAAAATAACTTGAGCAATGGCATTGGCAACGTAGTATATTATACAAAAACATTTGGAGTTTGTTCAATGACATGGAAAATATTTGGGATATAACGCGCACGAGGACAAAAGGGTGCGTGCCACGTGGCAACTGGATGACCTGTACAACCTTATCCCGACATCAGAAGTTAGATCCTCCGATATCCAAACTCAGCCAATGAACTTCACACTCTTCTTCACTTCCAGCTCTTTGCCTTAATGACACCCTCAATATCTCCAAACACTTAGATTTTTGCCAGAGAGAGAGAGAGAGAGAGAGAGAGAGAATGGCGTACAGCGCGTGCTTCCTTCACCAGAGTGCTCTGGCTTCCTCCGCCACACGATCCTCCTCCTCCCCCTCGTCTCTGCACCACGTGGCACCCTCCAGGGCCGTGCAGGTCGTGTGTAGGGCCCAGCAGTCGCCGGAAGAAGATAACTCCGCCGTCTCACGCCGTCTCGCTCTCACTCTTCTCGTCGGCGCCGCCGCCGTTGGCTCCCGGGTCTCCCCCGCCGACGCCGCCTACGGTGAAGCTGGTACTCTCTCTCTTTCTCCCACCCAACACGATCACGACTCACCTACATATCTACGTCTACGTATCGTATATACACTTGTAATAATTCTACTGTCAATTAGCTTTCTCACCTGCTGGTAATATGGAATATTCATTCAGTTTGAAACTTTTTGTGACGGTGAATGGAGAAAAGGGATAAATGGGTCGTGAGTTTGGGTATTGCAGCAAATGTGTTTGGAAAGCCGAAGACGGACACCGATTTCTTGGCTTACAGTGGAGAAGGATTCAAACTGCAAATCCCATCAAAGTGGAACCCTAGCAAAGAGGTAGAGTATCCAGGCCAAGTCCTGAGGTACGAGGACAACTTCGACGCCACGAGCTATGTCACTGTCATGGTCACTCCTTCCGACAAGAAGTCCATCACTGACTACGGTTCCCCCGAACAGTTCCTCTCTCAGGTTCCCTTCACTCTTCACATTCTCTCATACCATTTCCCCTCCATGAATGATCGACGTTTGGTTTTATCCGATCAAGTTTAATGTTCATCCCCTTTCCCGTTGTCTTTCCAGGTCAACTATCTCCTCGGAAAACAATCTTTCTTTGGCCAGACTGACTCCGAGGTAATTCTAGTTCCCGCCTATAACTCGGGAGACAATGCAGTTGTATATGTAGTTCAAGTAACATGAATGCCTACCACTCTAATGGCAACAACTTAAGAAAGCTAAAACCCTAACTGGGAAAGAGCTGGCAATGCTTTCGAACAGAACATAGTGTGTATATATATATCGAGTATTGGAAGTTTTACCATGCAAGTGCCGGGGAAGAACGTGTGTCTTAACACGAACGGTTTTGATGTTTCTTCTGCAGGGTGGGTTCGACGGGAATGCAGTGGCGACGGCAAACATCCTGGACACATCGACTCAGGACGTCGGAGGGAAACAGTACTATTACTTGACGGTGTTGACGAGAACAGCGGACGGGAACGAAGGTGGGAAGCACCAGCTGATCGCTGCCACCGTGAACGGCGGGAAGCTTTACATCTGCAAAGCTCAGGCAGGAGACAAGAGGTGGTTCAAGGGAGCCAGGAAGTTCGTCGAGAACACCGCCAGTTCCTTCAGTGTCGCGTGAAAACGTCAATAGATGTCTGTTTTTAATTCTCTTCTATTGGTAAAAAAAAAAAAAAAAAACCTTTTGAGAATATATGAAGATTCACTTCGAGGTCAAAGCAGAAGCTGCAAATTCTTGCATTCATGGCGCACAGAACATTGTCTCGGAGATATAGTGAACATCCAAGCTAAGATATCAGGGCACCAATTTCAAATAGATAAAACTGATCTAGGGTTCCAAAAATAATGATGTGAAAGACATGGTTTAGATACGGAAACAGTGAGCGTGTGAAGAAGATCTGAACAAATAACGTAGAAGGCATTAGACGAATCTATACAGAGCCAGGGGCAAACACAGAAAGTCTTTTACAACTTGGAAAATATAAATTGGATGCAGAAATTGTAAAGGAAAGCTCCACTGGCGGTCTCTGGCAATAATGAACAAACATAGAACGGCTTCAAAGATAGCATGACAAAAAATAAAAACCCTCAGAGTTTCTGAAAAGCCAAAGAATCAAGAACCACAAATGCCCAATAAGTGTCATTCACTTCATCAACTAATGAAGTGTTTAAAGCACTTTCAAAGTACGATGAACTACAATTAGTTACAAGAACTGAAGAGAGGACAAATACATATTATGTATTTTAATAATAAAATTAATAAGATGTTAGTTCTTAAAAATGTTATTTTGATCATTTCTATTATTTAATAAGGACGAGAAAATCACAAAACATCACTCAAGAATTGGGACTTTACAAAAAGCTCTACAATTACACACTACATATATATATAATAAGAAGGACGAGTGGTACTTAATCGACTATAGTTAGCGTACGCAAAGTACACATCTTAGGCTGCAGGGGCCACGTCACTGCTGTCGTCATCATCGCCGTCATCTCCTTCGTGTCCATGGACCGATGACGTTGCTGAGTAAGCAAACAGAGCTTCTTGGAAGAGATTGTCTTCTGAAATGTTGCCACCCATCATCATCGTCATCACATCCATGGTTAGGGTTTCTGAAGAAGAGGAAACTCTATGCGTTGGGTTTTTTAATTAAGTGTTTTTTGGTCATGGCTACATATTTATAGCATTCTAGATTTTTTTTTTATTCTTTCGGTTCTTCCATCACTCACTGAGAATAGAGGATTTTTTTTTTTTGTATTTTTTTCATTATTAGGAGGTTTGCTTTTCTTTTTTACATTACATGCGTCATCAAAATCTGATCTCGTTGGATATTTGGATTAGTCTAAAATGTGCAATCAACACCGACATGTTTTGGCGGATTAATTACAATATAAACATAATTATATCACACACAAAAAAAACACTTCTTTTCAGAATTAAAGTGAAGCGATTAATATATTCTGGTGGTCTCGCTTGTGTCGCTTAGCCTTTTCCCGAAAGCTAGAGGAGGAGAAGGGGGGGGGAAGATGACATGGCATGATGATGTCCACGGGACCGGTCCTACGTGGCATGTGAAGAGCCGAGCTCATGGCTTTTGGCCGCCATGCACGCTGTCCACGTGGATAGAACAGTCCATGCACGCTCTCAACACCGTCTGCCATGCGCTCTTCTCGTACGGACGTACCCTCTTGTATACACATACACACACCATACAATGCATAATGTATCTTTGCACTCGGAGCTAAACCCCAAGACACGGCATCAGCATTTTTTCGCTAAGCATTTATAATTGGGTTCTAAATAAAGGGTGTGCTTTGTATGAACGGCAGTTTCAGGAGATTCATTGATTTACATTCTTTTATTCACATACCAAAGATTTGAAACGAATAGATTGCAACCCACATTCTTATTTTGCAAAGGCAACCATAAACAGAGAAGATGAATAGAAATGAACATTAATCCAACATCTGTATCAACTGGTAACGAAGGGACCAAAACTCCTTTTCGACCTCTGTTCAAGTCTCCACTTAAGAAATCCGGGAGATTAGATATAGTTGAACTTTCGGATTATAAAAAATAACGGAGAAGAGAAAACAATTAAGGGCAATAGCAAAAAAAGAAAACTCTTCCCATCCACAAATAGAGAACAACCCCACCACGGATCACAGCAATCACCTGTCTTCCCCTCCCAAACCCAAACGGCAACAAATGAATCCCATAACCTCTACTTTCAGACTCGCATGTATATAAACACAAATATGGTTGAATTTCACCAGATGAGCATTACACGATGATATAGTTTTGTCAGTCCCAAGCCCTACACAAATTCTGAATTAACAGAAGGATATGTAATCAAATCAGACTCTTTGCAATGACGATGAGGAAATGGAGCAGAGCAGAGACTTGAGGACTTGCACACTCAAGATTCTGGAGATGGGGCTGGAGGTTTCAGAAGTGGCTGGAGAGCCTTGACGACTATGCTCATGTTCGGTCTGAACTCAGCTTCATATTGCACGCACAGTGCTGCCACTGCCGCTAGCTGCATTCACCACACAACAAACAGAATACGTTAATCCGATCAGAAGAATCAAAGGGCTTCAAGACATTAGATCAAGCCAGAAACTGTGAAACAGAGATGCGAGACGTAGAATTTAGTCAAACACGTCAAGGTTCTCTTGCCATATCCGCATTTCAGAGGAATGAAGAAGTTACCTTAGCGACTGCTTTAGGAGGGTATTCTCCTTTTAGCTTTGGATCAACACATTGTTTGACTTTATCTTCACTCAGTCTTGGTGTAGCCTGAGCCCAAGAAAAAAGCCATGCATACGGATGCTAAGACAAGAGGAAAATAACACAAGATCCAGATTCGGAGCAAGGGAAACCAAGAAAACGATAAAACACACCCAGGTTACGAGACTTTGCTGGCCACGTGGCATGGTATGATCTACAGGTTTCCTCCCCGTCAGAAGTTCTAGAAGTACAACCCCAAAGCTGTACACATCACTCTTCTGAGTCAACTGTCCGGTCATAGCATACCTGCGTATGGACAGAACCATACTTTAGCCTCCCTAGTTAATACCTTATCCGCTCACACGGTATAATTGAACCTTATCCGCTCTCACGGTATAAACTATATGGAATATATATGTCAGAAACTCGTGGGGTGTGCAATAAACAACAATGTGCTGCCACAGACAATATGCCCCCAAGGTATTTTCGCGATTTCCACACCCTGGTCTAAATGTCTAATCCTTTTTTCTCAGTCAAACCATGAAAAAGTAATCTCGTTTCACAAACTTATGTTCTACTAGTTTGACTGCTGTGATGTTTCAAACCATAGTTGCTATCTTTCTCCACAGCCCAGACCAAGTAAATCTCTTCTGCAATCTGCATGTACCAATAAAGGAAATGCATCTATTCCACCATCAGGAGACTCAAGAACCCTCTGATCAAAGAGCAGTTAAAATGACAAACAAGGACCAACGGGATGATATCGAGACCGAGACATCTCAAAATGAAGCAACATACACCAACATTTAACAAAATACCATGGGATATAAAAGCAGATGTAAAGGCAGAAAGGACAAACGATATTATATATATAATTGTAACCAAAGAGTTTTAAGAAATATTACTCTGGAGCATGATAACCAAAGGTTCCCAAGACTCGAGTAGAGTGAAGACGAGCAGCATTGTCAGGAGCTTGATTTGAGAGATTAAAATCAGCAATCTTCGCTTTAAAGTCTTCAAACAGAAGAATATTGCTAGATCTTATATCTCTATGTATTACAGGAGACTGTGCCTTCTCATGCAAGTACTCCAAACCCCTAGCTGCCTCAACGGCTATTCTCACCCTCGTTATCCAGTCAAGTGTTGGCCCTGGCTGTGCCCCTTGAACTCCTTTCCTACCTATAATAGCAAAATATGCAATCAATATATATATGGATATACCTTGGTCACCGCCTAACTGAGAAAATTTTAGCAGAAAACTGAATGGAGAATCCAGAAGTATAGAAGAATGTCTAACCATGTAGTATGTCATGCAGAGATCCCATCGTTGCAAACTCATATGCAAGAACACGAAGATTCACATCAACGCAATAACCAAGTAGCTGAATAAGATTCTCATGCTTCAGTCTTGAAACCATGGAAACCTAAGGAAAAGAGAAATGTTAATACATCAAGCTGAAAGAGGATATGGAAGATAACACCATTTCCTGATAGAATCATATCCAGTAATACTTATCTCAAAAACACAACCCAAATGAAATTGTTAGAGGTTTGAAGAAAATATATAACCTGACTCAAAAACTCAACATCTGTTTCAGCTTCTGGTGACACATCAAGTTTCTTCAGAGCAACAACTTTCCCATCATTTATGGTTGCATAATACACTCTTCCATAAGATCCCTCACCAATTAATGCTTTTGATCCAAAATTATCAGTCTTTTCCTTCAGCTCGTCCAAAGACAAGGCAGGAACCTCAATGGGAGGAGCTTCCTTCTGCATTTCCGGTTTTGCAGTAGCAGATGGTTTTTGGTTCTTCTGATATCCTATGATTACAAAGACAAGCAAGCATCATAAGGAAAACAAAGATCATGATTCATTTAAAAACACACAGATATCGTACTTAAATGTTTCAAGCCAATGAAAAATCTTTGAAATGGAGACTCTTTTTTTCCTGAGGTGGGCAATGTGATATGTATTAGACAAAGATTGATCGTTGGTGCCTTTATTAAGTTAACACGCTAGTTAAAATCTATTCAAGAAGATTCACTCCGAGTTCGGTACATTCTCTTTCTCGCTGAAGAGTTGGGTAGACTTAATAAATCCTTTTCAGTTGACAATTCTAAGACCCCACCTGAACAGCACAAGACCGATATCCAATCACAAAACAGTAGAAAATAGGAAGTAGTCTTGAAAATGGGATTCCTATATATCAATAAATCAGTAGAGACCATGTATAGATAAGCAAGTACTGTGGGTTATATGAAAAATCTTTGGCTACATACCATCAGATTGGTGCCTAGGACTTTTCAGGTTTTCCTCTTCGTTTAATGGATTTGAATCTTCCATTTGACACGTACAACAGAACCACTTCCGCATCCTTGTTCTCTTCTTCACGTATGGATCTGCAGCTTTTGGTTCCTGTAACCCTCTAAAGTAACCAGATGGCTGAACATGACCGGACATGAAATATCAAAAGTTACCTTCTGTCAGCTCAAGACATTATAGGAGAAGGATAGGTGAGACAAATGGTTAAACTTTTTAAGCATTCCCAAGTAACTGTGTCTTTGTTTGAAATTTCAAACTTTAACCAAGTTTCTTCGACACAGAAACTATTAGTCTATCTATTACATAAAAACAGGTTCTTTGACAAAGACCAACTAAAAGCACTGTCATAGGAAATAGCTTCACTCGCAACTGCCAAAGATTTCAGACCCAACATTAAAAGCTACAGCTTCACCGCACTACCTCCAACTCCAAAGGAAATCAGGCAAAAGGAGTAAAGCATCAAAATGGCCATTCTAGATTAGTGCTAAAAGCCTAAAACTTTGATAGAAAGGAATATTTTTTGGTGATCATTGAAAAATAAAAAGGGTAGAGCACCATGTAGTAAATCTATATAACATTTCTTCAGATAACCGTTAACAAAAGATGAACTCCCAAATCAAAGGGAAAAGAGGCATAGAAGAACTCCACATCTACAAAGCAATTCAGCAGAGCAAATTTTCTCGGAACAATGCACTTCAATGGAGACAATAGTTCATCAACACCAAATCATATATATATATATATATATATACACACACACCACATAAATAGGTTACACAAGAAAATGGACCAAAGCCATGCCGCCAAACAAGGTCGGCAACGATCACATTCAATTGAAGCGAAAACAGTGAATTAAAAAAATTACCATCCGACAGACGAACAATTACAAATCCAGAACACGACCCAGAAGAGAAAGCGCCCAAATTTATACATCAAGAATCCAAAACACCAGCAACCCTTTGGAAGCTGGTATATACCCAAACCGACACTCCTCAAACGCAGAAAATTGCCAAGAAATGGAATCAGATACAATACTTGAAATCTACGAAAGTAAGCAAAATACGTGAAGGAATCGAGCGACTCCCAAGAAGCCCTAAACCCAGAAATCGAAAGAGGGCAGCAGCGAATTGCGAAATCGGAATCGAGAAACAAAAAAGGAAAATTCTTTTACCTGTCTCAATCTCTAAATGTGCTTAAGCTGCGTGCGACACTCTCACTCTCTCTCTAAATCTCTCTAGGGTTTGATGCGAAGGTTTCTGGTTCTGATGAAGAGAGAGAGAGAGGGCGCTTGTGAGAGATTGCTTGACGGAGACGGAGAGAAAGGGGAATAAAGGAAGAGACAGAGTGGCAAAAGAAAACGGCCAAATGAATACCCCCAACCGACCTGTTTCTTTCTTCTTTAATGATTGAATCTAACGAATCTTTTTTATAATTGAACGGATCAGAAATGATTTTGGTATTCATTACATTTATGATGATTTTACAATACAAAATCCAACAACTATACAACACCAACTCTATCCACCACTACTATCACAATCCAGAACCTTGATTTTTCAAGCATGTTCTGTTATATTCTTGCTCCAATGGTTCAAAAGCTGGAAACTTTGCTTCAGAACCTATGAAAGGCGCAACCTTTTTTTAGTTTCATTGCCCTTTAAGCAAATTCCAATCCAGGAAACAGATTTATGCAGATCTCCAAGTCCTGGTACCAAACTTAACCAGAGCCCATGAAGTCAGAATCAGACAAACCTTTCTGACATCCTATGTATGAACCGCCTGAGTATTACTCCGGATTACTCTGTGAACAGGGTCAGTAACGTCTCCAGTGGTGTTTCGCGGCTGGATGAATAGGCCAATGGTGAGAAATAATTAAGAACAGATTCGGATTAGAAATTTTACGGGAAGATAACGTAGAAGCATTTAAGATTTCGGTATGTACCTATCACATTGCATCAATGTACCACAAATTGTGGTCTACAATATAAAGCTCCTCTTCTCAGGTAACATGCCGTAACAAATGAGCTCTTCAATCCACACAAATGATCACTTTTGATGCAATCCTGAGCGTAGATCCATCCCGATCGGTTGTTAACTTTCTTAGATCCTTAGCACAGATGCATCCCAATCCCGACCAACTGAGAATACAATGGATGATTAAGAAACTGCCATCAAAACTCTAGCTTTTGGTCAGTCTAAAGGACAGGCTCCAGGCTCTTGATCGAAAAAACCAGAGCATCATGCTCCTAGAGATCTTTCAAATACAGGGATATGCTTTAATGAGTGGAAAACATTAGCAGTTTCAGGCACGTTCGGGGATGCGATATCAGCCAAGAAGGCGCGCGGCCATAGATCCAACATCAAGATGACTGGACAGGAACTGACAGAATAACCGACAAACTCAAGCTTCCATCATGTCTTCTTTGCTTCAGTCCAGTGGACATCCTGCATAATTGAGGCAATTTGAAACTGAAAACACCAGAAACAGAGTACTGCATAACACATAAACAACTCACAAAATATTCACAAGAATTTTTGTTTTCTATGAAGCAAAAATTGTCTCATGCTTAGATAATTTCTGGATCAAAATCATGAATGCTGAGAATAAGATACAGTTACATGTAAAATAAGTTATGTGAAGCCTTTCCTATTACCACATTCCAAAATAAGAAAGGAAGAGCCAAAGAGAACAAACCATCTGTGAAATGGAGTCCAGAAGCAGGAGTGCCTCATTGACCTTTTTGTCCCAGAAAAGTCCTTTAATAAGGTTACTCAGCGTTTGCAACTCTGGAATAACACCTTTCTTTGTCATTTCTGAGAACAGCTGAAATGCCTTGTCCACTTCGTTAGCAAGGCAAAGGCCTTCAATCAAAGCATTATATGTGCTACCATAGCCAGCCAAAGTGGGTGAAAATGATGCAACCTCTTCATGTAGCGTAAGAGCTACCTCCAGCCTTTTAGCTTTAACAAAATTATCGATCAGAACTGTATATACAGAAATAACCGGTGCAGCATCATCCTTCGCTATCTCATCTAGGAGTCCAAGTGATGATATGAAATCTTTATTGAACCCTTCAATAACTTTTCGATAACTGGCTACATGCACAGGCCAATGCGTCTGTTTCATTTCTTCCAGAAAACTGTGGGCCATATCCAATAGACCATTTCTACAGCAATGATCTATCAACACCCTATAAGTAATGAAATTCGGAGCAACACCTTTTGAACCCATTTGTTCTAATAGCTCAAGGCATCTGTCTATTTTACCCATCTTTCCAAATCCATCAATCATTGCAGTGTATGTCACAACATTTGCCTGACAACCTTTTTCTTCCATCATTTGCATAAGCTTATAGGCCTCATCAGTTTTGCCAACCTTGCATAACCCATCAATCATCTCAGTGTAGATAACCACATTAGGAGCACAAGAGTTCTCAAGCATCCTGGACAATACTTTTAAGACTAAATCCAGACGTTTTTCTTCGAATAAACGGCCAATTAGAGAGCTGAAAGTATATACACTTGCAGTGTATCCATGCTCAGACATCTTGGTAAACACTTCTTGTGCTTCTTCAAGCTTCCCAACCTTACAGAACCCATCTATAAGAGCATCATATACTACCTGATTTGGTTCACAACCTTCCATGGCCATAGCATCTAACAGCTCCCAAGCTTCTTTGACCTTATGAGCCTTGCACAAGCCATCCACCAAAGCTCCATATGTAACTACATTTGGTCTCTCGCTATTTCCGTCATTCTGCTTGAAGTACATATCTACATCTCGAACATCTCTGCTGCCGCACATTTTTTCAAGAATCTGGCAAGCTTTCTCACTTTGTCCTGCTTTGCAATGACCATCAATTAAAGCAGTATACGTAATAATATTGGGGACAAATCCATCAGATAACAACATTTCAAACAGCTTATTTGCATCGGTGACCTTCTTTGCCTTAAGATAGGAATGGATGAGAGCAGTATATGTCACCAAGTTAGGCGGACAACCAACCTTTCTCATTTCGTCAAACCACTTACTAGCCTGTTCAATGAGGCCAGCTTTGGCAAAGCTGTCAATTAAAATCGTATATGTGTAGACATCAGGAACAATGCCACTCCTTTTCATTTCTTCAAACAACAGGAAAGCCATTTCCACTTTTGAAGCATTGCACAGATAACCAATGACTTTCGAATAGGTACTGGTATCTGGTACGAATCCTTTACCCATCATTTCACAGATAACGTTAAATGCCTTTTCAAACTTTCCAGCACCACAAAGACACCGCGCAAAGTTGCTGACATTAATTTTATTCAGCACAACACCCCCAGCGAGCATCTCACTATAAGCTTTCTCAGCCAACTCCAAGAGATCACTACTTGGTAAGTCTTGGTTGCCACAAATATTCCCAATCAATATGTTGTAAACAACATATCCTGGCTTGTACCCACATTGGATCATTTTCTTTAGCAATTTGTAAGCATATGAATAATCCCCTGATCTGCAATAAGCATGCACAAGAGAATAAAAAATCTTAGGACTTGGATAACAACCTTCCATTATCATCGTATTGAGAATTCTCTTACACCTACCAAGCTGTCTTTTGTTCAAACATCCACACAGCAAAGTTGAGTACGTTACAACATTAGGAACACAGGAATTAGCTCGCATCCTATTCAGGAATTCCATAGCCTCTTCAAAAAGCGAAGCTTCACAAAGACCGGATATAAGTTTTGTGTAAAATAGAGTATCGGGCACAAAATCCTCTGTCTCTATCAATGTCAGAGCTTCCCTCCACTTTCCTGCTTTACAAAGCGAATAAGCAAAGCATCTGAGCGTAAACCCATCCATCCTAAGATTCGCAAGAGACATCTCCCGAAGAACCAAAGTAGCAGAGTCCAAACGGTCAGCTTTAAGAAAAGCCTGAATCAAACAATTGTAAGTAGATCTTGAGGGCCTATACCCACAATCCTTCAGCCTCCCTAACTCCTCCAGAGCAGCATTAAACAACCCGTTTCGACAATGTTTCTGAATCAAAATATTCAAAATTTTCCCAAGAACTTCCCTGTCATCGTCCCTGATCTGCTGCAGAAGCACTTCAGGAACTTTTTCGTCATTATCACGCACAATAGCTTCTACCAATGCATGATACACGGGCACTGTATGCTTATAACCTATCTGCCTACCTGCCCAAATGAAGAAACTGACGATGGCAGACGGCCTTTTTATCAAATGCAGCACCTCAATCACCAAGCTTTCGCTCAGCTTCTCCCTAAATTGCCTAAGAAACTTCTGGGTTTTGCTCCCAAATACATCCTCTTCACTAGAAACAGCGTTCGCAATCGAAAGTGCATCAACCGAGCATTGACTTACCTCAACTCTGGGCACTCTTTGAGAATCATCACTGTGGTCAGAATCCACTAAAGAATCGCGCAGAAAGGAGAACTCTTTACTAAAATCTACCTCTTCCTGCGATTTGATCGGCGAAAAAGGATCATCCGGGTCCACTAACCCATGCAATTCATCCGGCGGGGAAGTGGAGAGAAATCTAGGCGAGAAATTACGGCTACGGCTAGAGATTCTATTAACAAGAGAACATCTATGAGATGATTTGGGGGGAAAATGTGGGCATGAACGAGAAAGAAGATATCTGACCAATCTTTTCTTCATAACACCTGAAAAATAAGACAGAGTTTAGGGTTTAGAGAACTGGGGTTTATGCGAGGAGACGAGGGAAGAGGAAAAGGACCCAACTTTTTTTCTTCCCTGAAAAATGTTTAGAATAAATCAGAAAGGTAAAAATTCTCACACATATATGATATATAGGGTTCCCGAGATAATTATGAATACCACAAAAAAAAAAGATCATTTTTGTTCTTTGGGTGAAAAAAGACAGTACCTTTTTTTTGTCAAGAGGTCATTTTTATCTCCAAAGAAAAAAAAAAGAGAGAACTTTCGGATTCTTTGGGATAGACAAGAAGATCAAACATATCATGGAAGACAGAGAATGGGTGATTTGATTTGATTTGATTTGATCAGACAAAAGGAAAACTCAGAATCCTCCTCCCGGGTGCTGTCCTATAGAGCCATGAGAATATCGACGGGAAGGCTTCTCTCGCATTCCCTCCGGAGAATCCATGGAAGACCTCGGATCATGGAGTCTCGGAAGATGTCGAGTTCGTCGGAATCATCATTTGCCGGTGAAGACCCTCCCATCGACGCAGGATCTTCCATGCGGAAACCCATCAGTCTCTGGCCCGGAATGTATCATTCTCCGGTGACCAACGCGCTCTGGGAAGCGAGAAGTAAGATATTCGAGAAACCCGCCGGAGATGTTTCTCAGTCGGAATTGGCGGCCAGATCTCCGTCGCGTAGCCGGACCTCCATTCTCTACAAGTTTTCCTCTGATTTCGTGCTTCGTGAGCAGTACAGGAATCCGTGGAACGAGATTCGATTGGGTAAATTGCTCGAAGATCTCGATGCTCTTGCTGGAACCATCTCCTTTAAGGTTCTCCCTCTACCCGTGTTCTCTATTGGCTTCAAGCATTGTGTTTGCTCATTCAGAAAGCTCGGTTTATAGTTGTAGGATCATAGTTAACATCAACTGAAGTCATTCATTGGCTTTTGACATCGGAAATTATGGATCAAATAGTCTTCTCTGGTTAGTCTTTGATTGTTTTCTTGGCTAAAAATCATCTCAATTTTGTTTTTCATAGTTCTTGTCATTACAATATGTACATTTCTGGTATCATCTATGTATGTGTTTGGGTTCCTGGATATTTAGAATGCCCATAACATGCTGGTTTTTGCTTTTCTGATCAGCATTGCAGCAGTGATGATGGCACCACAAGGCCAATGATACTGGTGACTGCTTCTGTGGACAGGATAATTTGGAAAAAGCCGATTTGCGTTGATGTTGATTTGAGTATCGTAGGTGCTGTTACATGGGTCGGAAGATCTTCCATGGAGATCAAATTACAAGTATTTCAACCAAGTGGAGGTACTCACCAACCGGGTTTCTGTTCTTTGACACCTCGGTTCCTCGGATTTTCTCTTAGTTTGAAAGGCCTTCACTTCTAATCCTGATCTTAACCAACCACCATTATGAGTTATATTGTCGGGTTTTCATATTTGGCGTTGCTATCCAAGATAGAGCAAAAAACTGGTGGAACTAAACATAAGTCTGGTTAGATATCACCAGACTTAGCAGCTTCTCTGTTTCATATCTTGGGTTTTGCTGGGTAGTCTCATGGCCATTCAATGCCCCATCAAGCAAGTGGTAATTGTGAGAATCTTGTCTGCTTTGTCTAAATATGTTTTTTTACAAAGCTATCTGATGAGCTATAGAACATAGCAGCTTATACCTTGCTCGGTTGATTGAAATTCAAAACTGGAATTGCTTTGAGACAGTGCTAATAATACGGTTTCCATTGCTGGAAAACCGATACGGTGAGCATTTTTGTTTCCATCAGACTCATCTATTACGTTGTGCGATTTTCTGAATCCCCTAGTTTCCTTCCCATGCGTGCTGCTTCTGTTCCACAGTGATAGTAGTACCTTGCTTACTATTATAATCCGTAGTTCTGTACCGTCATGTCGCCTGATCTATTGGTTTACTGAAACTTCTTTCTAACAGACCATATCTTGCAGATACTTCCGGATCAGTTGCTCTCGAGGCAAACTTCACATTTGTTGCTCGGGATGCCAAGACAGGCAAGTCCACTCCAATAAACCCAATCTTACCAGAAACTGAACATGAGAAATTCCTCTGGAGGGAAGCAGAAGAGAGGAACAAACTACGAAAGCAGAAAAGAGCAGAAACTAAAGAAGATCATGAGAAGCAGAAAGATTTGGACAGACTGAACGAGCTATTAGCTGAGGGAAGGGTGTTCCTGGACATGCCAGCTTTGGCGGACCGAGACAGCATTCTGATAAAGGATACTTCAAATGAGAACTCACTGATTTGTCAGCCACAGCAAAGGAATGTTCATGGCAGAATTTTCGGAGGTTTCTTAATGCGCAAGGCGTTTGAGCTGGCCTTCTCAAACGCTTACGCCTTTGCTGGTGTAGCACCGCGTTTTCTAGAAGTTGATCGTGTCGATTTTATTACACCGGTGAGCGCTTCTTCTCATAATATCCATGATATCTTTAGAACTGTCGATATGGAGAAAATCAGACAAGGAACATCTGTTCTGGTGGGTGATGCAGGTTGATGTCGGGAACTTCCTTAGACTGAAGTCTCGTGTTCTGTATACAGAAGCCAACACTTCAGCTGAACCATTGATAAACATTGAAGTTGTGGCTCATGTTACACGGCCCGAGCTCAGATCCAGCCAAGTAAGAAAGAAAACAGAGTTTATGTCGTTTTAACACCATAGTTTCAGTTCGAGTAGAAAAGGGTTTTAACATGTAATGGTGATGGGATTTGGTAATGGTGTAGGTGTCGAACACGTTCTACTTCACATTCAGCGTGAGACCAGAAGCCATGAAACATGGATTGAGAATAAGGAACGTGGTTCCATCGACAGAAGAGGAAGCGAGAAGGGTTCTTGAACGAATGGATGCTGAGACTGAAAGCCCGCTCTCATCGTCGTAGCCTCCTCATGCATGCATGTGATCTCTCCACGTTGGCTGATAACACTTAGTTTTTATTCTTGTAATCATCTCCTTCCTCCTCTTTCAGTTTCGCCCCTTTGGATATGACTTTGATGGTTTTCAGCCCTTTCATCATGAGATTGAGAGGGGTTTTGTTGGGTAGAAGACTTTGATCATCATCATCATCAACATGACATGCAGATTTTTATGATGCATATATTCAGAGTTGTCTCATGTATACCGTCTCTTCTCTCTTTTCTCCCTCTCTTGAATGTAATTCAAAGGCACGTCTGTCTCTCTCTCTCTCCTGGATGAAGAATAAAACTCGGATCGAATCGAAGGGTCTCTGCATATTCTCAGCCAATTCCGTACGCAGCTGTTAAACGACGCATTCAAGCCAGTTTCGCCCTTCTTCTTCAACTGCCTGCCTACCTACCTACCTACCTACCTCTCTCTCTCTCTCTCTCTCGTTCTGTGGTGTGCTTCATCTGGATGCATCAGCACGCTATAGCCCTCAAATTCCACCCTTCGTCTCCTCACCATGCTCTCTCGCTCCCCAATTTCTCCCTCCAAACCCCTAATTCTCTCCTCCCTGTTTTCCCTCCGTTCCCTCGACGCCGTCATGTGAACGCCTCCGCCGGAGTCCGATACCAGAGCTCCGCCGCCGCAGATGTCGCCCCGGTCAGTTATGACTCCTCCATCGGATCCGTCGGGGACCGGACCTCGGACAATGCCGGCGGTGTCGTTATCGCGGAGAAACCTATCGACGTTGCGGCACTGGGAAATCTCTGCGTCGACATTGTCATCAGTGTTCCTGAATTGCCGCCGCCGTCTTGCCGCGACCGCGAGGCTTTCATGAACAAACTCTCTGCTTCTCCTCCAGACAAGGTTATTGGCTGTTGCATGTTAATTCTATTTCATCGTTTTATCTCTGCCAAGTTCCAACCTTTTCGTCTTGTTTGTTTGGGCTGAACAATTTCTCCTCTTTTTTGCATTGCCGGTTGCTGGAATTAAAAAGTTTCAACTTTTTAACTGTGGAAGAAACAAATAGTATGATACTTTATAGGTTGATTGTTGAAATGGGAGAGTTTTTAAGACAAATGTGTCATCTTGGTGGGAGTCAGAGGGTAATCATACATAACGGAATCTGTGGACTTGTGATTATTTCTTTGAGGGGCTTGTATTTGGGCAATCAAACATAAAGCTAATTTGATGAAAATTAGAGAATTTGATAAATTGGTAAGAGGGTTGTATTTGTATTTGGGTAGTCAGCGGCTTTTGTTCCACTCTTTCCAGTTTCCACCATTATATATGCATCAGTTTCACTATCCACCAAAAGTTTAGAAGTCCTTCTATGCTTCTGATCGTATATTGCTTTTGTCCTTTTATGTTAACCTCTATCCTGCTCAAGGTGACGATATAGTTAAATGTATAAATGAATTATGTTCCGTTTCGGTTCATTGGATGTTCGACCCTGGATTTCCATTGGGGTTAAATAATAATAGCCAGAGAAGAGTCTTATATTTGGAGATGCTTCGAGTTTTCGCTCTCTCTCTCTCTCTCTTTTTCTTGTTTCTCTTCCTTGGATGTCTCGGTTTTCTGCCTTTGTGCTAGTATTGAAGTTTGATTGTACTGTTGTGCTTATAGAAATTCTGGGAAGGTGGTGGGAACTGCAATATGCTTATAGCTGCTGCTAGGCTGGGACTTAAATGTGTTGCAATTGGTCATGTGGGTGATGAGATCTATGGAGAGTTCCTCTTAGACGTGCTCCGAGAAGAGGGAATAGACATGGTTGAGATGAAAAAGGAAAAAAAAGTCAAGGATCACCGTTCTAAGTACGAGACTCTTCTGTGCTGGGTTCTCGTGGATTCTTTGCAGAGGCATGCATTTTGCAGGTACATTTTCGTTTCCCTCTTTAAGTTTCTGTGGAGCATAGAGTGAGATAAGAAAAAACCTTGAATCAGAACCAAAAGCTAATGGTATGATGATGGTGGATGTTGTGTTATGACCATGTTCGATGGTGTTTAATGAATGCATCATCATGTTGTGTAGCGATCTTGATGAAAAAGATAAGTTGCAGATGAATAATATATGGTATGTATTAGAGCTTGCAGAGAAATATAGAAAGCACAGATTTAGCACTTCAAGTCCTTTTCATGGCTAAGGCCATAGTGCTCTCTAAAAAGTGTTTTTTTTAAGGCATGACCAAGCATTATTTAGGGCCATTATCAAAAATACCCTTACCTTGCTATTTTGACTTCAACACATATCCTTCTCCAGCTGTGACCCTTGTGATCCGAAATATAGTGTAGTCACATGTTGATCCCATTGCTCATAACGTTATTTATGATGTTTTAATCAAATGATTAGTAAGATATACGAGGGATGGACATAATGAATTAGTTTAATCACCATAAATTTAACGTTATGATCAATAAGATCAAGATATGACTACATTATATTTTGGATCACATGGGTCACAGGGTCACAGATGGAGAAGGGTATGTGTTGAAATCAAAATAGCAAAGTAGGGGTATTTTTGATATGATGCCAATTATTTATTGTCTCCACAGTCCACATTTTATTTCTAAAAGTGTAAACATAGATTTTCTCTCAGTGAAACAAGTGATAGTTAGGTGATTTCTTTTCAATTCTTTGAGCTCCACTACTTGGAGTACTGATGGCTTTATGCTTCTATTTTTCAGTCAAGCCGATTACTACCAGGAGCCTGCCTTCCATTGGATAACCGAACTATCAGATGAAGTAAAGACGACAATTAGACAGTCAAAGGTTCTTTTCTGCAATGGTTATGACTTTGATGAATTCAGCCCTAGTTTTATCACGTCAACCATAGATTATGCTACAAATGTTGGGACATATATCTTCTTTGATCCTGGACCACGGGGAAATAGCCTTGCCAATGGAATTCCTGAGAAGCAAAAAGCACTTGCCCACATGTTAAGAATGAGTGATGTTCTTCTTCTAACATCTGAAGAGGTATGCTGTATATGCCTTCCTCCACCTTGGCTGTTCCAGGTTCATTTCGGTACACCATTTCAATTCTAGGCTTTGTGAGTGTATTTGCATCTCATTCAACTGACTCTTCTGGTTGTCCCGAAGAAAGGAAGAGGAAAGAATTTGTGTGTCATTGAAGTTTTGCCAACCTATGACCTTCTTTCCCTGTAAAATCCATGTGCCCTTTGAAAATGTCTTGGTATTTCACTGAGTGCAGTGACTTACTTAACATTGCTATATTCATTGGTCATTGGTTTCAAGTCCTATTGTGCCCCACAATCCTGACACTGCAGTCCAGGACAAATGCTGTCTTGTTGCAGGAATGAGGAATGTAGCTTTTGACATGCCTGTCTGAATATTTTAAGCCTATTTCTATTGGAGTGTAACTGATCAAATTATATCGCCAACTTGTTTAAATGGGTGCCAGGCTGAGGCTTTGTCAGGTATCAGGGACCCTGTACAGGCAGGACAACAAATTCTCAGGAGCGGAAAGCGCACAAACTGGGTGATAGTAAAAATGGGTTCTAAAGGCTCTATTCTAGTCACCTCATCCAGTGTATCGTTGGCTCCTGCCTTCAAGGTATCAGCTTGCAGGTTTTCTCTTCTTTTTTTTCATTTGATGCTCATATGGATATGTGTTCTTTGGTCGATTTGAAAGCTAGTTTCGAAACTCAAATGCCAAGATTCTGTGAATGGAAATGTTTCTGTGAATCTGCATATGCATTCATATTCCTCTGGGAGATTCTGTTTGAGAAATGACTGCCCTCTGTAATGTTATAATTGCTCTTCCTTAATACCATCAGGTGGACGTAGTTGACACAGTTGGATGTGGAGATAGTTTTGTTGCGGCCATTGCATTGGGTTTCATACACAAAATGCCGCTGGTCAACACCCTTACGATTGCAAATGCTGTCGGGGCAGCCACTGCAATGGGGTCTGGTGCAGGCAGAAATGTGGCAAGAAGACAACAGGTCATCGATCTCATGAAAGCCTCAAAACTCAACGATGATGAGGCTGGTGGCCATGACTTTTGCAGAGAACTGCTATCTGAAATCTCTGATTCCCCAGATGTAACTGTTCTTTCCAAAGATGAGATAAACGGAAGCAGCAATCGGATAGAAAAGGTTTCCATTGAAAAAGTGGTATCCGAATTGCTTGGAGAGCTCGAACTCGAAAGGTTTTAGCACAAATATATCATCCTGATTCACTGAAACAATGCTTCTGTGCCTCTGCAGTCTGGCATGAAGGATTTCAGTCCTGTGGATAGATAGGGGTCTTAGGCAATTGTATTATTGCATCGCCGAAAGGGAAGATCATTCATTACTTGAATAAAAACAACAACATTGTGTTGTAGCAAACGTTGCCCAGTATTTGGATTGAATGTGTACAATTTTGTTTTGTTTTTTCAGACATGGGAGTTAGGAACGTCTTGTGGTCTGTAGTTGCAGCAAAAAATAACTTACATTCGCCATTGCTGGAATGAAGCCCATGTCCATGCGATGTCTTATACAGATTGCTCGTAACATTGTTAGGAACTTCAAACAGATTAGAGTTAGGGGGAGGAACCCATGGCATGAGCTATGAATGAATCCCCATGATTTCAAGCAATATATAAACTACACGCGGAAGCTTTCACACACAAAAGCAAGGTAAGAACTTTGAAAAACCAAGTCCCTTAGGGTCATTCAATTATACAAAGGCTACCCTAGAGAAGCTACCAAGCAAGTATCCCTCTTTTCGACTATCTAATTCTCCATTTCACTTCTTCGCCGTCCGGGCTGACGCCCTCTTCGCCGGAGATTTCACAGTTTTTGGCTTGACGGTCTTCGCCGGAGCCTTCTTCGTCGACGCCGCCGCTTTCTTGGGGGCCGCCGGCTTCTTTCCAGGAGATGTTCTGGTCGATGTCCTCGCCGCCTTAGCAGGCCTTGCCTTGGCCTTCGTCTTCGGTGAAGCCGCCCTCTTCGTCTTCGACACAGCAGCAACAGGCTTCGATTTAGGCTTTATACTGGGCTTAGGCTTCTTGGCAGCAACCGCTTTGGGTTTAGCAGCCGCCGATTTCTTAGACCCCTCAGCTTCCTTGGCTTTACCGGCAACAGCAGCCTTGGCCTTCGGCTTGGTTACAGTTCCGGTTGCCTTCTTTTTCTTCGCCGGAGAAGTAGGAGCCGGCTTTGGCGCCGACGACCTCGCCGACGGAAGCTTGAAGGAGGCTTTGACCTTTACCAGCCTCTCGGCGGCGACAAGCCTCTTAAGATTGAGGAGTAAAAGCTTCTTGAAGGTAGGAGGCAGCTGCTTGTGCTTCTCCTCGATGAACTTCTGGATCGCGTACTGGCTAGATCCAGTTCTCTCCTTCAACGTCATAATAGCATCCTTAATCATCTGCGTCAAACATTACAGCAACACAAAACCCAAATCAATTTTGCGATCTCTAAACTCAAAATCGAATCGAAATTCAAAATCCACGGATCAAATCCCCTACCTCTTCATAAGGGGGATGACTCGAAGCACTCCGCTTCTTCGGAGCAGCCTTCGCCGCAGGCTTCTTCGCTTTAGTCTCCTTGGCTTTCTTTCCCTTCCCAGACTTCACCGGCGATTTCGTCTCGGTCGCTGGCTCAGTCGCCGGCGCGTTAGCCGCACCGGAATCCACAACCCCCGCAACGTTGGCCTCCTCCACCGACATCTCGAAGACTGATTTCGCGGAAATCTAGAGATTTAGGGTCGAAACTTTGGTCGCTAAGACTAAAATGTGATGTGTGAGAGAAATAAAACTGATGAAGACGACGAGGACAACGGAAACGTTGGATTTAAATAGTCAGGTGTGAAGGAGACGGCGTCTAAAAGCTTCATTCTGATTGGCCAAGACATTGGGTACGCGGATCGCTATCGCATCTCATGTTTGAATATTGACCGTTAGATTTAGATCTATCGACGGCGTAGGACAAAGGACTTGGGATGTAGGGATGAGGAGGCAATGGATGTGGATGGAAGCTTGGGCTTGTGGGTGGTGTGCTTTTAGGCTCGATTAAATCAGCTATAACTTTCTCTACACTTGATGGATTTTAGTCATGTTTTTTGCATTGTGTAGATAATTCTTTTAGGTTTCTATTGGTTATTCCAGCGCGTAAAATGGATCATTTGTTCGTGAGATATTCGATCTAGAAACTAGATATATCGAAACAAAATTTGTTTCGACAATATTATGGTATATTTAGTTTTTCGGACAATGCTCGAACGAAATTTTTGAACTTTTGGCTCCGGATGAAGGTAGATTAACCAACGAGTGTAACAAACTGTTAATCGTTGAATTCAGATAACGTTTGAATCCAAAATCATTCGTCCGAACTCGATCCAAGTTGACCACTGCACCCACTTGTTCATATGTCGGGGAAGAGGATGGATTAGGGGGGGGGGGCGAATTTATGTGTTGATTTATTTACATATTTGAAAATAATTATCTCATTCACCCATACAAAATTATCAAAAATCATTTTAGTGAATCACTAACGATGAAATATGTAAATTATTGTACAAATGTGAATGATGTATGCCTACGTCCTCCAAGTCCAAGGCATGACCAATGGCACCGAGCATCTCTCTTGTTCCACCAAAGTGCTTTGGGTTACAGGATGCATATCGATTATGATTTCATTTGATTATTTTTTTTTTTAAATTCGGTTTTGTATCGGTTATCGTCGAAATTTCATGGAATTGAACCATTCGAACCAAAATGAGAATTCCATTTGTCGTTTAGCCAATCAAAATATTTTTCACATTTTAACAATATCGATTTCTACATCAGATTCGCTTCAAATACTATTGTATGTTGTTTTTCTAAAAACAAGATTATATATTTGGTTATTTTCTTTCAATTAAGATCCAATTATATATCGTCAAAGATATTATAAAACGGTAAATAAGTATTCATTGCCATAACACTAATGATGGAATCCAGACATTGTTATATGATATGGTAATCACACACACACACACATACATGTCATTTTCAAAGGTTATCATTTTGGATTTGGTCATGATGAAAGTGTGTTACGAGACATGAACATGGCATATGACATGACGTTGAAATTTGGTCTGAATTGGTCAGTGGAACCAAACAACCGATCGAACCAAACTACAATTTGGTTATAAATTCAACTCCGATATCACCATCATACATTTGGCATTTATTTAACCTTAACAACCAAAATCACTTCTACTCGTTTCTGTTTCTGATTCATCATTTCATATCCAATATCCAATTCCAGATTTGGTCAACCTGATCCGACCAAATAACATATAAAAATTGAACGGTTGTAATCTTTATAAAACCGAAAGAATCAAAACCCAAACCAAATCAAATAAAAGTTAACCAAAAAACTCGTTATTTTTAAAATGAATATTTTAATCAATATACCAAACCGAACCCGACCGAAAAGACTGAACTGAATTCAATATAATAACCGACTGATATATAACCGAACCAATCACGAATCGAAGCCCAACTAAACCACCCCCTAATTGGAATATCGAACCACAACCATAGACGAATCAAGATACACCGCGAATACAGATTCTCGTCGACACCTAAATCCAAACCCGAAAGTGAGATTCTCGTAGTCGTCGAAAACGAAACCGAACTCATCCCGTTGATGGATGAATACCCGATTTTCGAATACATAAAAAGCTGTCAAATGAAAAAGAGCAAACATCGATCGAATGCTTAGAAATGATGGAGAGCAGTTTTGTCACAAATCCTACAAATTTTGTTTTCTTGCTTTGTCGCATTACTAAAAACCCTGAAAGCCAACAACTTCAACGATTGCCGGAAAACCACGCCGATCCATGCAACCACGAGATCATCCCAAGCTAAAGCCAATCATATCATTGCAAGGGAAGGACTGAAAAAGAGCACATAACCTCGACGCCGTTAAGTTACGGATTGCGAAGACATTTTTGGGTGGTTGTGGTCTCCTTCGTAAGTGACGATTAGCATCGACGGATCTTCCAGACACCTCTCTACGTGCTTCCTCGCCGGACAACCCCTCATGCTGCTGCATTTGTAGTATCCCCTGTCCCAAAAAAAAAATCTTCTTACAAAACACTATCCCCTGTCTTGCCGAAAGATTCTCGTCGATGTTTTTTCATGATCTTTTAGCTGGTTCTTGACTGTTTTAAGTACAACGAGAAAGTGATCATGCGTCTACCTGGGATGAGGAGAACCCTTGATTGGTTTTTGACCATATTTCCTCCATGAATAATCGTCGGGAGGTATATCTGCGACCTTGTTACTGATAGCCGGCACTTTGATGGACCTCTTCACTCTATGTTTCCTGCCAAGAAAGCAAATCTTTTTTTAAGTTCAAGTAGAAGTACGAAATCCGAAAAGTTCACCGCCCAGTTTAAGAAAGCATTTGACCTCTTCTTTGAGCAGTGGCATCTGCTACTGCTTCCGCATTTGAAGCTTCCTTCCCCTTCCTTCCCGGAACACTTTCTCTTAAGGGGTTGTGAATTATGATCCGTTGAAGACGGCCCCCCTATCAAATGGAAGGAATTCTTTCCTTCTGCATTGGCCACACTACCATCTATGCTAAGTGAAGAAACGAAAGACCTAGTCGATGACATTGTCGGGGTACAGCTGGAATTATCAAAGCTTAAGCTCATCCCACCATTACATTTCCTAAGCAAGATCTCAGCCTGATGTTTCTGTTGCTGCTGATGAGCCTGTAACCTTTCATGTAACTGCTGTTGTTGATGTTGATGCTGCTTATGAAGCAAATTGTGATAATTCATCGAAGGAATCGCCTGCTGGGTAAGTTGAAGAAGAGGACCTTTTGAATTGGAGCTCAAACCGAAAGAAGGGTTTCCTAAGCTGAGAGAATCCGAAGGCCGCAGGCTCAGTTCATGGAAACCAGACCGGAGAAACGGCGATTTCATAGAAGGGGGTTCTGTTTTAAGGTGGCAAGGATCAAGAAAAATGGTCTGAGACAAATGGGTTTGCAGTTTCTTGGCTCTTCTGACCCTAGCATGACCCACACTTCTGCTGAGAAGACTCCCAACTCTTTTAAACCTAAAGACAGCATCCTCAGTCTCAGAGACCAAGCTCCTGTCATAACCCTGATCTTGTTGTGCTCTACACACGAGACTAAGGACTCTATGACAGCTCTCTACGGCGGCTTTGTTGGCTTCTTCTATCTCCTCCATGTCTTCTTACCGCCACTAACCCTAAGCAAATACCTTGAACCCTAACTCCCCAAAAGCCCAAAACTCAATCAACCACGAAACCTCCACCGAATCCACAGCAAACGCTATCAACAAGGCAAAAATGGGTAAAAACCCATATGGTCAAAGTTCCGTCTTTACACAAACCCATTGGTCCATCACCCAAAAGAAGTGCCTTTTCCGTGACAAAGTTGTTAAATTTCTCACCAGAAAGATCAAGATTCAAAAGGGTGTATCACCACATCAAAGAAACCAAACTGAGAGAGAGAGAAAGAGATTCAAAGAAACGAGAAAATTCAGAAATTTTTCTTTTCGAGAGATGAGGTGAAGAAAGCGAAGGAAGAAAACAGACCTTCCTTGGATGCTTAAAGGATACTAGTGAGTTGTCAAACCCAAGATTCCTCATCTACCATGCTCAAAAGAGGCAGAGAAAACCAAAGGTGTGAAAGAGAAGACTTTCTTTACTTTGTTGCTTGAGCAATCAACTCAACCAAAAAGAGAACAAATTCTCCCGTTTCTTTATTGTATCTTTAACCCCCAGAGGGTAGAGAGAAACACAGTGAATAAACAATAAATCAAATAATTACATTATCAAATGAAGAGGAAAAAAAAAAAAAGAGAGAGAGAAATTGAGATTTAGTTGGCAAGCAAAAGAAATGAAACTGCCATCTGTCACGGACTTCAGACGTGGGTCCCACAGGTAGACCTTTGTTTTCCTTTTTTTTTTATTTATATATAAAAAAATATGGCTATAAACACATAGGGCTGCAGCCTACATAGATATTTGGCATTATTATATGACTTTATTACATGGTATTGAACCGTGTTACGAATTACAAAATATTCAAATGTTTAATCCTTTGGTGTATATGTAAAAATCTTGAATTTCCTAGTTTCAAGGAAACTGGATTTCTTGTCGTCAAAAAGGGCAATATTGATATTCAAGAATGACAGCTCCTTTGTTATCTACAATATTTAGTTAAACCAAATAATTCGACGCCAATGTATAATGTCTATGCTACATGGCATGACCCTTCAATTTAAGTAGAGCTTTGGAGATTGAGATGACCTTGTATTTGAACATTCCACAATAGAGTTAGATTATGGCAAACATGTTCATGCACACTCAAACATCTTTATTTCCATATTTATCTCATAAATCTTGAATTGTAAAAGAAGAAGAATCTGGTTATGCTTCCTAATGTATTTGAATCTAATCCAGAAACCAAACGAAACCAAAAAATCTAAAAAATATCCATAGAAAGACAACAGCTTTACCTCATCTTAACGTGCAATGTTCCAACGTCCACGGACGGACACATCTGCCTAAAACACCAATGTACTGTTGTATGTTCTTTCTAGTGTCTTGTGTTCTGTAAAAACCAACCAAGAACTTCATAGCAATACATCAAACTTCTCTTAAACAATTTCAGGTGTGGTTTCATCGCCATATACAACAGCTGCATGTCAGGAGATTTTGGTTTTATTACTCTGTTTCCGAAGCAGCAGCAGCAGCAAAGGATATTCTTCTTCTTCTGCAGAGAAAAGCGGTTCCTTCTTACTTGTTGGATTCAAGAACAGGAATCTTGCGAGCGTAGACGAGAACCATAACGAAATCCTTGGCCGAGGAACCTATAGAAGCAGCAACGCGTTTGTGCTTTGACGAAGTTTGCAACCATAGATCCATCAAGCTGTGTAGTTGCAGAGTGGGGATCACTGGTTCTCCCATGCATCTTATTTCTACCTGCACGCCCTCGAAACCAAATTCAACAAACACTCAAGATGCAAACAGAAGAGAAGCTTTTCGGTTAGGTTTAAGAATTGATAGATACTGATTAGCTCACTTCCACTGATCATAATTCTATCCTCTGATGCAAGAAGTTATAGAGAAGAGTGGACTGAGTCAGAAACCTTGCGGGAACAGTAAGCGAAGAGCTATGCATTTGTATGAATACAAAAAAACGACATCCAAATATAGTTTTACGTAAAGGGGAACCGAAGTAGAAATTAAAAAGTCGAAGACTGCATGATGGAAGGTGCTCACCTCAGTTTCACTCTCGAGATCAAGCTTCCTCATGAGATACTTTTGGATGAAAGAAACCGGAATATTTCCATCCCTACAACAAAACGATACAGATCAATATCATTATCTCTCACGAATCAGAATTCTTCTGAATAGTGAATTGGACGCTTTCCACCCAATCTAGAGTTAGGAATAAGATGCACAAACAACAGAAAGGTTATCAAGAAAAGGTAAACAAGTAACTGCATGGGTAGGATACTTGAACAGCAATTGTTTCATTCCTTCAAGAAAATGACTGCGAAACTTGAGAAGACAAGGTGGGCACCAAGACTTGGTAGCATTCCATATATTGATCAAGTAAATATGGCAATTAAGAATGAGAAAACTTACTTTATTCTCAAGTAGTTTGCCGGAATTTGAGGCAAGGATGGCTCTCCTTCCCTGAAACCATCAAGTCACTGTCAACAAACCGAGAAAATACAAGCAAAAAGAGAAAGATAAGCCAAATATTGGATGGCTGAAATCTTCAAATGTAGAGCAAGAAACTTACTGATCACTGGAAGCCACAAGAGAAAACCAAACAGGACCATCTCTCCTTTCCCATTTTGCATTTGGTGCATCTGGTTGTGGCAGAATTCTTGAATCACCAAAAGAGGCAGATCTTTTGCGGCGAGTCCTACGCAATCTTTTAGGAGTAGCTGTTTCTGATGCTGTAGGATCACCTTTATTATTCTTCTCATCCTCAACTTTAAATTTGCTTTTGTGATCCTTGGTTTTTCTTTTACTTGTTTGACCTTCATTCTCAGGTGCATTTGCATGTTCATATTTAGAGTCCAAGCCTTGAGAAGTAGAAGACTTCAAGGGTTTTGTCCTGTTCGCCACTTCCACAAGAAAATTCAAAGGTTTCCAGAGATCCAATTTGGAATCCCAGGGTTCATCACCAGCCCTGGTTTCTTCATTAGATAGGGTATGGCCAGGCTCTGCATACGAAGACTGCAAGAAGAAAATGTAAGTGCAAGGGCTACTAGTGTGTCTATCTGTGAAATTGTAATTTGTAATCAAGTAGTCAGACGCATCTCCATTTCCAAGTGACCAAAATCATACTATGGTTTCTGTTTCCAGAAATGATATTAACCTTGACACTGAAAGGTGTGCAAAATGTTCCCTACAACAAGAACCAGAACAGAAGAAACATCTAAAAGAAACCCGCCAGAGGAAACAAAAGCCATTGCAAACAAAGAGAAAGCCACATTAATCACCTTCTTTACCTGCCTTTTGTTCTGAGTGAATTTGTCTAGAGTTTCCGGCGAGCTTCTTCTCTCTGTATTGTCATCCTCAGAGTCTTCTTCTTTCTTTACAGTTCTCTCGGCCAAGGAACCACTACCTCGTACGTCTTTTCTTGTGACAGCTTTTGTTCTTCTTCCGGTCGTACCAGCTTGAGCTAAAACTCGAGGTGTGCTTACTACCAAGGATGAGATAGATCTCTCTTTTCTCCTCGCAGGTAATGTGATTGAGGGGACAACTTCAGGCACTTCAACTTTTCTCCGTTTTAGAGGAAATATTTTGGCCCTCAAATCCTGGAGATTGTGGTCAGGCCTAGAAACATGCACGAAACCGATGCCTCAATAGACATTCAAATCAATTACCAAGAAAGCTGTCATACGCGTATAACTAGTGAGAAAAAGGTATGAGAGATCTAATTCTAGTTCTGGCTAAGAGACTCATATATGGCATATCAAGCATAAGCCAATAAAACTCAATATTCAAAAGATAATTCCAAGTCCATAGCCTTCCAAACCAACTGAACATTTTTACCAAATAACAGTTATGAAGGAGAAAAGCACATCATGCTACAGAGGTCACTATGTAGCATATCCCAACATACCTAAAATGTTAATATATTCCAGAACATAAGGTCACTATGGTTTACTTCATCGATAAGAACAAAAAAAAAAAATACTTGTCAACTAATTTTATAGGTGCACGACTATTGAGCTCAGGGATGGTGAGCGCTAAACCAAACAAGACTGAACTAAGTGTCATCAACAAGAGAGATAGTGGAAGGAAAATAGAGGCGAAGATGAACCTACCTCAATTTCTCCAATGGGGCACCTCCAAGATCGATGTTGCATACTGGACAACATTCTATCTCCTCCTCTGTGATTTTCTCATAAATGCACTTCCTACAAACTAAAGAGGAAAGTAATGTAACAAGTTATTATATTTCAACAGAGAAAGACAACCAGATAAGACTACAACGCTTCACATCAAATGCAACCAGATCTTACCATTCTCTAAGACATCAAATGATACAAAAAGGCCCCATTTTCTCAAGGTCAAAGGCGTAAATTGGAAATGTGTTTCACATTCTACATTAAATTGCGTATTTTCTCGAAGTTCAAGCCAAGGTTGCCACCAACCAAGTTCAGAACTCTTGAGAAATACATGTTGAACATCTCTGGTTTCTGCCACCACATCCATTTCAGAAAGACTGATTAATATATGTTCCTACCGCATTAATTATTTTCAGTTCTTGGAGCACATGGTTGCATATCCTAGCTCATAAACCAGCAGTTGACATTTACCATCTTGGATCGAAAAGATCAACCGATTGCCTTAAATCAGTAAACTACTTTTATCTCCACAGTGCAGAATGATGTACGCATCAGTTTACGGATGAATCTTGGCAATGAAAGAATTAAGGAAAAAATATTGGTGAAGCAGTAATCAAAAGCTGTTTCCTGCATACTTATATACCACAGTTCATCCACAGTAACATAAACAGGAGTAAAAAAAGCACATACACCATCTAACACGAGTACGAGAAAATTTAATTAACAACAGCCGATTATTGGGCAAAACTAAGCTAAGTTCACAGGTACTTGGACGTCAAATACACAAACAACGTACATGCAGGCTTTAACATAGAAGAAGCCAAAGCCAGGAGAACCAAAACTAAATCCAAACAACAACATTCAACAACATGCCATGTTAACAGAAACTGAAACTGAGGACAAGATTTGTTCAATGACACGACTACTCGAACTAAACCAAATCCGAGAGCAAGATTTGACCGCGTGCCATCTTTGACACAGGAAAAGCTCTCTGAGTTCAAACCACTAAGCTAAACCGATAAAGCACTCCTCCTGTTGAACCACATGGCAAAAGAATACGCAAACAACTAAGATAAGTAGATTAAGTACTCCTATAGAACTTCATGGCAAAGGAATTACACAAATTTTGGTCGATGACGACTCTTGTTTACAAAACCATACGAAAATTCATCAGCCGCGCTTTTAATTTCAATAGTTCGCGATTTGGAAAAGAAGATACAATATCTCAACTCAAAGCAAGAGAATTACAACTACAATCATCAGAATTTCGAAAACAAGAGCAACCCAGATCAGCTACGAGGCAAAATGGGAAAACCCAGATAATCAAACACACAAAGACATCAAATTAGGAAGAATTTTGCCCCAAGAAGGATAATTCAAACGTGAGAGGAAGAAGAAGAAGAAGAAGAAAGGAGACGGAGGAACTCACACGAGTGGAGGCACTCGGATATGGTGGTGGCATCGCGGAGGAGCTTGTTGCAGAGAGGGCAGGTCATGCATGCCGCCACCGCTTCCCTCCTCACCTTCGCCACCTGAGTCGCCATGTCTCTGTATCTCTCTCTCTCTCTACCTAACCCTTTTTCCCTTTCTCTCTCTAGATGAAAGTTCGTAGCTCAATCGCACGTACCAACCCCAAACTGCATGTGGACGAAGACGACGACCTCGAAACGCACCGTATTTACGTCCATATCTCACTCTGTTTGTGTTGGACCATCTACATTCAAACCCAAATCGGATATTGGCTCAAGACGAGATTAACCGAAATGGGTCGAGGAGAAGGAGAAAAAACCTCAATCGGACGCAAGAGATTGACAGTGAAGCGCTTAGAACCTGGTGATCTGATGTAGAGGAGGAGATGAAGATCGGTGATTGTCAATGGTGAGACACGAAAGGAATGACGTCGGATTCGGACAAGAAGAAGGTGTGTATTAATTGAACAAGCGATCTGAATCGAGAGAGAGAGAGAGGGAGGAAGGGTTAGGCTCTCGTCGAGAAGAGAATGAGCCTCGAGAGTTTTTTTTTTCTTTTGGTCTTTTTTGTCCTTCTGTATTTCTTCTTGTATATGTTTTTGGTTATGGGCTTTTCCCCCGGGGGGGAAAAAACCGTGTTAAATGTTTAGGGTTGCAAAAATCCAGCTATTTATGTTTAGCTAAACATCATTATAATTAAATTATTTCTCTTTTTGAAAAATAGGAAAATATTATTATACCAAATTTATGCCCGTATTTGTTTTATTGAGTAAAATCATTTATACATTAAAATCTATTTCTTCAACTAGTCTCCGTTGTTTTCATGTTTTTGAATATTTTTCTAATTTTCCAGTAATATGTAAATTGTTTATTAAAGAATTATCATATTTTTCTATTTTATCTTTTTTTTTTATCTCACCATAAACATTTTTCGTTTAATTTGTTATCTCTTTATTTTTTAAAAATGTATGAACTTGTAATTTTGCTCTATCACTCTTTTTTTTCCTTTCTTTTTTTTTTCTTTGCCCAATTTCCTTTTTTATTTCTATGCTATTCTTTCTATGTAACTATTGTTATCACCACCTTTTATTAACCCTTCTAATTAATGAAATTGTTGGATTTTTAATTCAATTATTTTGTTAATTCCTTGATCGATTGTTTCACTATCAAATTCATGGCTTCAACACTATTAACTTTTTAGGTCATAGTATTTTGATATGTGAAAAAAACTAATTACATCAAACAATTAAAATATATAAACATGTAAGAGTGTTTTTGTTTAATGGCTAAAGCATGTGCCTAAATCTCATTCTAGTAAGACAACCTTGGCCATCTCATCCATTACAATTGCTTCACTCTTTTTTTTAAAAAAATAATATAAATAAATAATAATATACTTTACTAAACTAATATACACGAAATCTTGTTTGTAAACGATCCATTTCAATTATAACATTAAGATAAAAGCTTATTTTCTAGCAATGCATTATACCTTTTTCTAACATTTTAAAATACAAAATATAAAACACAATTTTTTTCTTCTTTTTACTATCGGCACTCTCCTATTCGTCGGAGCACACCGTCTTCCAAAAAAAATATGAAATTCCTTTATTGTCCTTTTGTTCAGACGAAAGAGCTTCTCCACGTGTCGAATTGTAAGCGGTCAGGTGAAATCTCATCTGAGCCGCTCAGAAAAGACAAACGGATTTTCGACTTAATCGACGGTAGTAAAAATGCGAGAGCACATGTCTCCACGTTGTACCTACCCACAGTAGATTCTCATCACTCCGCGATTTCACATCTCCAAGCAAGCATCCAGAACCTATATATATATTTCCAAATTTCCTTAGTTATTTTATTTTGCATTAAAATAGATATTAAAAATAAAAAAGCGCTGAAAACCTGAACATGCACGGAGCTCTTTGAATCTAACTCCTCCCCCCAACACATTCACCAAAAATCAAGTCGGGGGAAAGAATCTGCATTTAAGGAAAACGAGATCAGAGAGATCTCGAAACCCTAATTTTTACCATTTTCGTTCGTTGCTGGTCGGTCAAGCAAGGATTCTCCGCCATTTCTGAATCTCCCTGCGATGTGTTTCTTCCTGGAGAACGATTAGGGGTACAAGCGAAGAGTTCTCGAAGAAGAGATTTGAAGGCGTTTTTTTTTTAGATATTAATGAAGCAAGTCCTTCGGTGGCCGAGGATTCTGATCCTCGCGTTGCTATCAATATCTGTGTTGACTCCGATCGTGTTTGTCTCCAATCGGCTCAAGAGTATCACTTCCGTTGGTGAGCTCCTTCTTCTTCATTTCCCAATCCGTTTCTATTGCGGGGGGGTTGTAAAATTGATTGGTATGGTTGCATCATTGTGGATGATCATGTGTAGAGTTGATTAATGACGCTGATTTCTAATTGTATCGGGGGGATCGCCATGGACTTTTTTTTTTTGTTCGACGTAGTCTTTGCCTTGTGCTTTTGCATCTGAGATTTGGTTTGACCTCGATTCCTGTTCTGTGGCAGGTCGGAGAGAATTTATTGAAGAGTTATCGAACATTGTACGTGAATTCTGTTATTCTTCTGTTCTGATACTTTTAAGAGAAAAATCAGGACCTTTAGTTTTTTGCTTTCGGATCGATGGAAAATATTGGAACCGATGAGAGATTCTTCATTGGTTTATTTTATTAAGCAAGACTTTGGATTTTCGTTTTCATCTTTCTGAGCAATTTTAGTTAAGCGATGATTTTAAGCTGAGACGCTATGGGATTCTGCAGAGATACAGGGCGCATGACCTTAGACTTAACGCAATTAGACAGGTAGTTTTACCACCTATTTGCTCCAGCCATCTGCTTATTTCTTGGTCGGGCCTCCATTTAGTTGAAATTGGTTCTGTTTTGTAATTTAGGAGGACGTAGAAGGTTTGAAGGAGCCTAAACTCATTCTCTACAAGGATGGGGAATTTAATTCTGTAGTTCAGTATAGTTCTTCTGATGAAACTGGTGCTGCTGTGCAGTCTAACAACGGACGAAAAACTGGGTTTTTCTCGGAAATTGGAGGTGGCAATCACGTTTTCTGTTTTTTTTTTTTTTTTTTTTTTTTTGTCGTTGACTTGGAATGTGGAAGCTTTCTTATCAGCCATCATTTCAGGAAATAATCACAAAATCAAGGAAGAACAAGCTTCACAACAAACTGTAGTAAGCTCTGATCCAAAGGTGTGCATGAATTTTCTTACTCTATTTCCCTTTTGCAATTTTCAGATCATGACAATATTATCGTTGTCTTTGCTCTTCTTGTTACTTGAACCACAAAACTCAGCATCTCTATGTATGTACATCCACCAGCATAAGGTTGTAAGGTATCATGTTTAACTTGTAAAAAAGTCCTACTATTATTCAGGAGCAAGCTCTTGTTTTGTCATTGGTTTTGATCTTAAAATGTCTCTAGACTCTAGCACTATCATGAATTGTTCCTCCTAAGTTCGTATCTCAACTTCAGTGAGAGCGTTAGAGTTGGAGGGTGATGTCAAAAAGCTACCAAAACAGGGCAATTTATGTGGAAAAAAAAATTATTTTTCAGGAAAAAAAATGTTCTCTAGGAAGGCATAGCTTAGTGAAAGAAAGGTTATGTTTCTTATCAGCCATCATTTCAGGAAATAATCACAAAATCAAGGAAGAACAAGCTTCACAACAAACTGTAGTAAGCTCTGATCCAAAGGTGTGCATGAATTTTCTTACTCTATTTCCCTTTTGCAATTTTCAGATCATGACAATATTATCGTTGTCTTTGCTCTTCTTGTTACTTGAACCACAAAACTCAGCATCTCTATGTATGTACATCCACCAGCATAAGGTTGTAAGGTATCATGTTTAACTTGTAAAAAAGTCCTACTATTATTCAGGAGCAAGCTCTTGTTTTGTCATTGGTTTTGATCTTAAAATGTCTCTAGACTCTAGCACTATCATGAATTGTTCCTCCTAAGTTCGTATCTCAACTTCAGTGAGAGCGTTAGAGTTGGAGGGTGATGTCAAAAAGCTACCAAAACAGGGCAATTTATGTGGAAAAAAAAATTATTTTTCAGGAAAAAAAATGTTCTCTAGGAAGGCATAGCTTAGTGAAAGAAAGGTTATGGTGGCCCAGTATTTTGAGTTTTTCAAGTTTATCTATGTTCAATGATTCTGCTCTACCTGTCCTACCCATCATAATGTTTTGGGCCAGATGTTTGGGAACCAGGATTATACGACTACAATAAATCTCCACATTCAGAATTCTGATTGCCTTGCCATCCTTGAAAATTCGTGCTGGGTGTCGAAACATGTCTTGAAGTATCTTCATCTTGTACTAAAATGGATTCTAAGATAATACGACTCTAGTGAGTAGTTAGGTGGATAGGAGAACCAAATTAGAATGCCAAAACAAATGGCATGACATCTGAGTTTCATGGGTCTTGCTAAATAATGGTGAATAGTGAAAGTGTGAAACTGATCTTGGGTATTCATTAAGCGAGTAACGTAGTATGTTGGGACTATGAATCTTATTCTTTTGCTGTGTCAGGAACAATTTTTACCAACAGTCATCCAACTTAATAATGTGGAATTCCAACACCCTGTAGCTAAGGATGAGAAGAATATAAGGGTTCAGCCTGAACGGGCAGCAACAGATGAGAAGGTAAAGGAAATCAGAGACAAAATAATCCAAGCTAAAGCCTACCTAAATTTTGCACCGCCTGGGAGTAACTCCCAGATTGTGAAGGAGTTGAGAACTCGGATGAAAGAGCTGGAACGGGCAGTTGGCGATGCTACCAAAGATAAAGATCTCTCAAAGGGGTATGCAACCACTTGATGATTCCCTTTCTACTAAAAAAATTATTCCTCTATTGCATCCAGCAAACAGCTGTGACATCTAATTATAGAGCCAAACTTGATTAGTGACTTCTCTTACGACTGTTCTTTCAGCGCTCTTCGCAAAGTGAAACCCATTGAAGCTGCGATATACAAGGCCAGACGTGTCTTTGACAACTGCCCTGCCATTGCTACCAAACTCCGTGCCATGACATATAACACTGAAGAACAAGCTCGGGCGCAGAAGATTCAAGCAACATATCTTATGCAGCTTGCTGCAAGGACCACCCCTAAAGGGCTTCACTGTCTCTCGATGCGGCTGACAACAGAATACTTTGCTCTTGATCCCGAGAAAAGACAGATGCCTAATGATAGAAATTATGATGATCCAAATCTCTATCATTACGTTGTCTTCTCTGACAATGTGTTGGCCTGTGCGGTTGTTGTTAAATCTACGGTCTCATCTTCGAAGGTAAATATGCTTCACATTATTTACCTTTCATATTAATGCTGTGAAACTGTGATGTCTCTTCTATCTCTCCCATTTTTAAGTCTCTATGGCATTGATCATCTGTTCTGGAATCCTTTTGCTTTTGCAGTCCTGCTGGTATATTTATGCACATATCAACTATTCTATCGAGGCTGAATCATTTCAAAATTCTGTTGAAGCCCCTCATGTATTTTACCCGATGATGTTTGTGCTTGCAGGAACCAGAAAAAATAGTATTCCATTTGGTGACAGATTCACTTAATTACCCAGCAGTCTCGATGTGGTTTTTGTTAAACCCTCCAGGTGAAGCCACGGTTTGGATTCAAAACATCGACAATATGGACGTTCTGCCTGTGGATTATGCTCAATTACTGATGAAGCAAAATTCTAGTGACCCAAGATTCGTCTCTCCACTCAATCACGCCCGCTTCTTCCTCCCTGATATTTTTCCCGGTCTGAACAAGATTGTGTTCTTCGACCATGATGTAGTAGTCCAAAGAGATCTAAGTGATCTATGGAGCATCGATATGAAGGGGAAAGTAGTCGGAGCTGTAGAGACCTGTCTTGAAGGCGAGCCTTCATTCCGTTCAATGAACAAATTCATTAATTTCTCGGATACATGGATCAACGGGAAGATTGATCCTAAAGCTTGCACGTGGGCATTCGGGATGAATCTATTTGATCTCAGGGAGTGGAGAAGACAGAATCTGACTTCCATATACATGAAACACTTGCACCTGGTAAGCATCCACATTCGTTTCTGTGATCTCTACCCTTCTCTCTTCGGATGAGAATCACGTTCCCTTGAATCTGAGATAGTTGATGACCAAAACCAAATGTAGGGAATAAAGAGAACGTTGTGGAAGGCGGGGAGCATGCCAATAGGATGGTTAACGTTCTATGGGAAAGTGATAGCGTTGGACAGGAGATGGCATTTGGTGGGTTTAGGTTACGAATCAAGATTGAAAGGGGCGGCCGAGGTGGAACGAGCGGCGGTCATACACTACGACGGAATAATGAAACCGTGGTTGGATATTGGGATCGGAAAGTACAAAAGCTACTGGAACAGACACGTCCCTTACGATCACCCTTTCTTGCAGCAGTGCAATATCCACTCTTGATACAGCAGAGTCATCATCAGTCCTCGTTACTTTTTTTTTTGTTGTCTTTTTGTTCAGATAAAATGCGAAATAGGTTCATTCCGATTCTCTCCATAGCAAATCTCAGTCCACTGGATGTTCCAAACGTTAATTAGCTTCATTCTTTAACGGTATCTCTCTGTATAAATCTTGATGTGTTTCTTTCTTTCTTTTGGTGGGTTTTACTGGTAGAGATGTGAAACTCTCGCGGTTAATATCTAGCCTGGGTCCTGGGATGCATGTATGCGCAATCTGGATTTTACCCGAGGACATATGACACGTGGAGGTAAGTGATTGGCGGAGAGCGGATAGGGGCAAATCCAAGTTAGATGGAGTCTAGTGGTTTTGATAAACAGAAAGGAAGAAAGAGAGAGAGGTTTGATCCGATTGTGGAAGCAAAGGAAAGGAAGTAAAAAGAAATGGCAGGCGTCACAGTCACAGCCACCTCCTCCGTCGCTAGCGCCGGTCTCCTCCTCAAGCATTCCTCCGCCGTCTCCGTCGCACCCGTCGTCCTCGGTAATCTCATCCTCTTTCTTCTTTTACAGCTCACATAACAAATTTCAGTGTAAAAACTCCATTTGGGTTTCTTTCCCCTGTGGATCTGCAATCTTTCCTGATCAAGAAACTAAATTGGACCATCCATATGAACATGTAGAAGACGTGTGCCGTTTAGATGTAAAAACCAGCGTATGCTGTAACTGATCCTTGGAGGGAACTTAGGCTAAGGCAAGAACGCCAAATAGTAAGTGCCTCTGAAAACTGTGTTGGTGAGCAGGCCTGTCCCTGAAGAGGGGAAAGAGGAACGTAGGAGTGAGATGCTCGATGGAGACGAAGCAGCAGAGCGGCACGGTGGCAGGAGCCGGTGTGGCAGCGGCAGCGGCAGCGTTGGTGATGAGTAGCCCAGCAATGGCGCTGGTGGACGAGAGGATGTCGACGGAAGGGACAGGACTTCCCTTCGGTCTGAGCAACAACCTCTTGGGATGGATTCTGTTCGGAGTGTTCGGTTTGATATGGGCTCTTTACTTTGTCTACACTTCCTCTCTCGAGGAGGACGAGGACTCCGGTCTTTCCCTCTGAAACAAACTAGTTTCGTTTGTCACCTTTGGCAATCCTTCTTCCTCCACTTTGATGTCTTTTTTGTGTGTGAAATGTGTGATTTCTAAAGATAACCCCCAAGTGCATGACATTCGCGGAATAACTGTGCAAGAGACATGGAGAAATAGATGGCACTATTAGTTGGAGATAAGAAGTACAAACGGGCGATTATTGAGCAATGGCTATAATTACAATAACATGTGGCGATTGGATCGTTCCTACACTTACAAAGTATGAACGAATCATCATTCATGTCGCAGATGATGGATAACTAAACATTATAGATACATCACATATATATACATGTACATGCATGATAAACCCTAAGAATACAGGAGTCATTGATAGATGAAGCTTCCTTCTCCCACTGATATGAGATTCTCGCCCACCATTTCAATACCTTAGCCCCTTACCCTCCCAAAAAAAAAAAGATCACGTGTATTTCTCCCATTGATACGTGACTCGGTCACTATGTAAGAATCTAAAACCGGCTTCACATGAAAGCGGATGAACAGATGATAAGCACCGGATGAGGTGGATCCAAGTTCTCTGGGGGGGGGTGAGTTAGGGACGGAGAAGGCTGAGCTGGGAGAGATGGAGATGGATGTCGGGAGGGTGATGATCTTCGATTCGAGGGCGTTCGGATTGAATCCAACGTCCCTCGTGGTTCATCACCATTCCCTTGTTTGCGTCTTGTCTCCAAAACGGTGGAACCATGAAATGGTCTTTCAAAAAGTCCGACGCTTTATTCACCAATGCTGGATCCCTCCCACTCGCCAACACAAATCTCTGGCCTTTCCCATGATACCTGTTTCATTATTATGTTATATATATTACATACAATGGTCAGGAAACACCCAAAGGAACAGACTTTATACATTGTATATACTTTATGTTCTCGAGATTCACGTGACATCCCAAAGTCAATGGAAGTTATAGAAGGGGATTTGATTCCAAAATTTAAATATTATATAAATAATCGAGCTAGCAAAGATTCCCAATTTCTTGTTTGTTGTTTTCCACAAGTCTTTAGCATATTTACCCGGTCAGTCATCAAGGCTTATCTCATCTCCTTTCGTACTTAGCCACGTAGCAAGGAAAGAGGGGAAAGAAAGAGAGAGATGGAAAGGGACTGACCCATCAAGGAGATGCAACAGAGCCTCCAAGTTATGAGCATTCGAAGGATCAACCGAAGGTTTTAGGAATGGCGAGTTCTGGTGATCGAGAGCCACCTCCACGCCCACATGGCAGTAACACCATGGGAGGAGATTCTCGGCCATCTTCATTAGCGATCGAGGCGCGCGCTCGTTCAGGAATAGCCCCGGTGACTTGGGTACCACGTCATGGACGTTCACCACCCTCATCACCTTCACCCCCAACTCCTCCATCCTCTCCTTGAACCTCACGTTCCCCACTCTCGGCCCTGCGTACGTCATCACCGTCACCGGCACCACCCGACCCGACCGTGTCCGGTTCAAACCCATCTCTGCCACATCGTACGCGCTCAGTATCGCCAACGCCCCGCCCAGACTGTGGCCCGTCACCGTAATGCTCAGCTCCTCGTCCTTGTCGTCCCCGTACGTCTCGACCAGTCGTTTCACCTATGGACAATTCAAAATGGATTGATTTTTTCAGATATGTTATGATCGCAATGATGGAATTGTTGAGAAGAGATTAGAATAGAAACTGGTTTTGAATCATGTGTTACTCACCTCAGTCAGGATCTGCTCACGCGCCGAGAATTTGGAGAAGTTGCACGCTTCATCTTTGTCCGTATAGAGATCGAGGAACCCCGACTCGACCTTCACGGCCGGGTCGGGGCACCGGAGGTTGTTTCCGGCGACCGGTTTGAGGTAATCCATCAGGTCGGCGATCCACTCGAGGCGCGTTACGGTCCCTCTCCACGCGATGGCGATGTCTCGGCGGCCTAGGCGGTTGCGGGAGGTGTCGTCGTCGGAGACGGCGACGTAACCCATCCAGTTCGCGTTCTTGCTCCACACCTTTGGCCACCGCGATCGCTTGAAGAAGTTCGGGAGGTTGATATTGGAGGTCGCGTATATGTAACGCGCCACCGTGTAGCCAGAATCCGCCAACCCTAGGGATTCGAAGAACTTGTGGCGCGCGAATCTGCAGCTCCCACAATATCTGGAGAAGGGATCGAAATCGAAGGCATCGTAGCAGGTTTGAGCCAGTTCACCGTAACGGATCAATTCTGATCTGAGAACCGGATCCATCGGATCCAGTAACCCGACCCAATCGTCCTCTCCGTGGACCTCCCGCCACGTGTCCTTCAGCTTCTTCTCATCCTCCGCCTTACGGTGCCGCCGGCGAATCTCCTCCGCCGTCATCCATCGTTCTCCGACGGCGGCGGCGGTTTCGTTGATTAACCCGTTCCTCTCCCCCTCGCGCGTCGAGATTACGGCGGGGGGC